CCACAAAAACATCTAATTGTCCATAGCACAAATCAAGTATGCGTGTATGTATATATATTTATAATCAATATATGTAAATTTATAGTAAAATATATACATATGTACTTGATGTTAATATTTATATGATAATTATATACTTGAATGAAGAACCTACAGTGTTCTCTAGAAAATGGGGAATCTGAAATACCATTTCTCATTATAAAAACTTAGAGTCTTTCTTTTCTCTCCAGGCATGTTAATCCAAATTAGAGTTTTGGGGGTAGGGAGAAGCAAAAAAGTGTCATTTGTGACACTTAATTCCAGGATACTAAGAGTTTTGGGTTGACTGATTACATTAAACTTTTTCATTTAGCTTTCAGAATCTAAGTTAGTGTCAAGTCCTGAAATGTGTACTATTTGCAGAAAGACCAAAGTCCCACATCATCTTGCAGACTAAAATTATATTGCTTGTGTGGTCTTCTATAGAAAGGGAGCAGTTAATGTATGCTTTTGTGCAAGTTCCATTTCTCTTTTCTAAAAGGCAAGGTGGAAATACATACTTTAAGATGCATAGGTAATCTGAAATGGAAAGAAGTCTCTAATTGCTATGGGTTAAGAGAGGTGTTACTGGAAACATGGACCTGGTGAAGTTTGAATACTTTGCCAGATGCACATAATAAAGTTAACCCCTTTTCTCCTAAGTTTGACTCCATATTCTTCTCACTTTAAAAAAGTTTTTGAAGTAAAAAGAAAAAGGCACCCTTTACAGAAGCTCCAAACATACCTCAAAATAGTCTATCTTCTGTTGGAATAATGGTTACATTTTGCCAGTTGACAGAATAAAGAATGTGGCTTGAATTTGGATATTATTGTGTAGTCTCTGAAAACAGCTGCAAGTTCAGAGATGTGTTTGTTCTCTCAATTTACTAGTGGTTTATTCTACAGTCAATAATTCAGTTTCTGTGAGAGATGTCTCACATACCATCACTTTATAATTCTTATGAATATTTCATGGCTAGTAGGTGCTGTTTTGAAAATAAAACCTCTTTAAAATCTCTAAAATGCAACGATATTTTGAATCTACACAAGTTTTACTAGTCAGCTAGTATGATAACCCTTCCATATGATCCTGTTTTATAGTACATCTAAACTAGAATTGCAGTTAATGATGGTGACTTGTCCTAGTCCTCTGGTTTAGAATGCTTTCCTTGTGAATATTTTTGGGGGAATTATAGGTGAATGCTCTGGCATTTTCATTGAAGTGTATCATCAGAAAAGAAAAAAGAGTCTATTCAAATGGGTGGTTGCAAATGTAACTTTCTGTTAACTCATAAAAATTGGTTATTTGAATTGTCACTCTCAGAACTGGGAAAAACTTTTTAGGAAGTAATATCCTGTTTACTTGTGTACATGGACATCACTTCATTACTTTTTAAAAAATGTTCATACTTGTAGAATTGAATAAGTTTGCTAATTGCCTCTTGTTTAATTTTCTTTTTAAATATTTTATTTATTTTTGCTTATAAGATCTGGGGCACAGACCAGAGGTGTTAGGGTGAGAGAATTCACTGAAGAAAGAGTGGGGAGCAGAACAGGTGGATTGACTGAAATACACTGCCGATGGGAGCAGTGGGAGGGACAGGAGAGGTCTGCTCCACCATGTGGGTCACCTCCCTGTCCAGGGATCGAACTTGTGTTGTAGGGGCTGTGGACAGCTTCATAGTGCTGTGTTCTATCATGTATGCCACCAGAGAGGGGCCCCCCTTGTTTAATTTTTTAAGATTTATTTATTTATAGATATAAGAACTGGGGTATAGGCCAGAGATGCAGGGCATGAGAGAATTCACCAGAGATAGATTGGGAGGCAGAACAGGCAAATCTACTGAAATTACACTGCTGAGGGGGAAGTAGTGGGCGAGACAGGAGAGGTTAGCTCCCCAGCTAGGGGATGGAACTCATACTACAGTGGCTGGTGATAGCATGATAGTGCTGAGACTTTAAGCCTGGTGCCATCAGAGGCCCTAATTTTATTTTCTAAAAGAAGATTATATATCTTTTCAAATAGTTTTTGGAATAGTACTAGTACATTGTAAATAAAGGTCAAATACAGATTAAATAAAAGTTTTTCTTGGTACAATGTGTTTAATAAGAAAAGAATACAAGAATTACATAGGTTACAGGGATTTCAGGAAACAGGTTACAATCTCTTTTGTAACCAGAGATTACTGCCTTTTCTATAAAACAGCTCTGAGGCAGAAAGAAAATGCTCTTGACAGTACTATTTTCTTACTAGAAATTTAGAAACATGTTTCTTGATTTTTCCTTTTCCTCTTAGTTAACTGCCTTTTAAGTTTCTTAAAGTTGTGTTGCCGTGCGTGTCCTCTGAATTGGACAGTTAAAAGGAATATAGACTTACGTGTGGGTTCAGATAGTAGTGTTTGTGATTTGCATCCTTAAAATTTTCATTGAAGTAACTTGTTTTGAGCATTTTACAGGTTTCAGGTGTGTAGCATTATAACTTCACATTTTTGTACCCTTGTTTTACTAATTTTAATTTTCCTATTTAGCATTATTTTCATCCTTAATTTTTTTTTTAATTTACCCTCTGTTTTTTACAAAGATTTATTTATTCATACAGAACTGAGGTACAGGTCAGAGGTGCAGGGGCGGTGAGAGGATTCACCAGAGACAGAGTGGGGAGCAGAATAGGCATATTGACAAAGTACAATCTGAGGGGAACAGCAGGTGAGACAGGAGAAGTCTGCTGTGCCATGTGTTTCACCTTCCTGGCGGGGGACTGAACTTTGCTCAAGTGGCTGCTGCACTTTTTAACTGCTGTGCCACCAGGGTACCCTTTTTTTTAAATGCTATATAGGACTTAAGCTCTGACCATTGAAACTCAAAATTGTTTACGGTAAATGTTTGACTGTGACTTAAAGACAGAATTTTTATTTTACAGCGTCAATCAGATCACATGATGTATTTACATATATAGTTCTGGGGTCCTAATGAGTTGTCAAAATATTCTTTCCAGTTAATGTAAAGGTAACTCTAAGAATCACCTAGTCAGAAAAATAGGTATATACACTTCTGAAACTGGACAAATTACTTTGTGTAAGTTTTTCCTATGCCTTCCCATAGTCTCTTTGTATGCTATATGGGACCACTTTATCTTTCTCCATTATTTCTGAAACTGACATTCTCTGTGAAACTTACAGCTAAGAAGGAATGAAAATTAGTAATTCATAGTTTTAATGTAACTAATTTATTATATATCGTAGTTTGTGTGCTTGCTTTGCAGTGTGGCATATATTTGTAAAGGTAGTTAATTATCAACTTTATTACGATGTTTGTGTTAGTACTTGACTCCTTGTCCTGGTATTCAGTGACTAAGCTACTGTATCTACACTTTTTAATTGGTTATGCTTAAAGTCATTGAGGTATAAAAGGGAAGTGAGAGTAAAATGTAGTCTCTTTATGTTGATCTTGGCCTAACCACATAGTTAAATACTGTTAGCAGAAGAATTTGACAGAATAATTTAAAGTATAGTTAAGATGGTTCAGCCAGTTTGAGAATGAGTAGTGATATTGGTAGTCTGTGTGAGGAAGGAAGTATCTGAGGAACATGGGCAGGAGAAGGCCTTGCTTTTTTTTTGTAGTTTGCTCTATGTGAATTTATTTATTATTATTTTAAAAGATTTGTTTATTTATGCATACAAGAATTGGATTGTAGGCCAGGGGTGGGAGTTGGGGGGGGGGGGTTTGAGAGGATTCACCAGAGACAAAGGGGGGAGCAGAACAGGCAGATGTACTGAAATGCACTGCTGAGGGGAGCAGCAGACAAGACAGGAGAGGTCTGTTGCACCTTGTGGGTCAGCTCCCTGGCTGGTATGGAACTTGTGCTGCAGTGGCAGTAGCTTGATAATACTGACTTTATTTTTTTGAGTGTGTGAAATTTTTTTATGATTTATTTTCTTTTTACATGATTGTGTTTTCCCCATAAAATTCCCACCACCTGTTCACCTGTGAACCATCATCATAGTCCCTTGAGCTCTTCTCTCCCCTTGTTAGAACCCTTTTTCTCCCCCTCCCCTTGCAGAATCTCTTATTTATGGTCTGCTAGTTTTGTTTTATTATTATTATATTTTTTTCATGATCTTATTTGGTTCCCCTGTGTTCCTCCTATAATTGAAACTACTCATTATTTTTCTTTTCCCTTCTGGCTTATTTCAGTGAGCATGATCCCTTCAAGCTCCATTCATGTTGCTGCTAATAAATAGTGCTGACTTAATCCCTCTGCCACCAGCGAGGCCCCTCTTGCTTGTCTTTATAACCTAATTTTCTGCTGCTTGAGCTTTTTGGGAAGCTGTTATTTCCAACTTTCAAAAGCATTTACAGCTTCCTTCACATTACTACATGCCCATACCTATGCCTTAGCCTTTCTGTTCTTCCTTCTGTTGAGAAATCTCTAATCTGCCTCCCTTGAACTCTTTTTCTTCAAGGTCCCTTTTACATTATATTTATTATGGCACTTTTAAAAAGGATTGTGGTTTGTCCAATTATTAGTCCAAGCTCCTTTAAATCAAGGACTCCATAAAATTTTAAATCTTTTTTTGGTGTTAATTTTATTTTCAAATTCATGAGTCCACTGCTTATGAAGTAACTACTAAATGTTAAAGGGAAAGAGGTAAGAGGACAGATCCAGTTGTTCACTTATCTTAAACCAGAAACATTGATGATCCAAATACTTTGAACTATAAATGCTTATTCTCAGATGTAACTTTATTGCTTTCATCTCTGGTCTGCCTTAGGGTTAAATATTTATACAGGATTATACATTTATAATTATAGCAACAATGTTACAACAAAACAATTGAAGGCCATATTCACTGGGAGAATATATAGTCCATTATTTAGTTACTAATTGCATCACTTGAATAAATGACATGGATTTTTTTTATTCACTTTGTAACATGGTTTATTAATGTTTTGTTTTTGGTTCTTCTCTCTTTCCCCCCTAGCTCCAGAACCTAGGTATAAACCCAGGAAACATTGGCTTCAGTACCCTGACTATGGAGTCAGACAAATTCATCTGCATTAGAGAGAAAGTAGGAGAGCAAGCCCAGGTGGTAATCATTGATATGAATGATCCAAGTATTCCAATTCGAAGACCCATTTCAGCAGATAGTGCCATCATGAATCCAGCTAGCAAAGTAATTGCACTAAAAGGTATGAGAGTTTGTAGACTTTTTTCCCCTAAAACTCTTAGTATAATTTATTAATATACAGTAATTATGATCTATACCTCAATATATTGATTAAATTTGGTTAAATAAATTTACAAAATTAAAGCTAGTATAAATTTGATTGTAATTTTTATGACTTTTACTGGAATGTTTCTGTGAAACATTTACTTTCTCCTCAGTGTAGACGGCTTGGCAAAACTAAAGTTTTTGATTAAATGAATTTACATTTTATACCTTTGGTTTGGTAAGACTGCTAAAAATATACCACCATATATAGAAGCAGTAAAAATTAGTGATTCACTTCATGAAGTAAAAAACACTTTACTACCTAAACACAGCACATTGTGTTGTGATGCTAAACTTAACTGTTCATGCTGTGTCTTTTTTATAGTAGGCTTGTGTTTTCATTTAGATTATAAAATTCTAAAAATGGCTTAAATGTACAATTGATTGTGTATGTATTGGTGAATTTTAAAGCTTTGGAATCAAGGGTGTTTGAGTTTATTTGGACTTAAACAGGGTTCAAAGAACTGCATACTATCTGGAATTCTGTAGTAATTTTTTCCCTTTGGACTTCAGAGTGAAATGTAATTGATCTTTAAAAACAGACGTTTTAAAGAGGGCTTGGAGACCTATTGACAGTAGGCTTGGAGGCCTACTGTTTTTCACTTTGTTGTTTTCTTCTTGAAAGTAGAACGAAGAGTTCAGGTTACAAGTAATTTCTCAATAAATTTGTGTGTGAGTTGTCAAAGTGCAGAATTTTAAACAGATTTTTCTTTACATAATTAAAATGTGAACATAGTAGTAATACTGATTGAAGTTAGGGGGTTGGGAGGCAAGCATATTCATATAAATGTCACCATTACACACCCAAGATAGTAGTTCAGCTTACATCTAGGACCATATAGCCTTTTGCTTCTGTTAACAACAGAAAATACTAAGCTTCCATCAGCCACTCTTTAAAGAAGTAAATTCAACTGCTTAGCAACTCTCAACCTCTCTAGTAAAAGGCCATCGTTTTAATTTTCTCACAGTTCTTTTCTATTTGTAATGTTATTGTTATCTTATCACATTTCTTAATGCTTTCTTATGTGTGCAGATGGTGAGTTATCTTAAATTAGATTGTATTAGTTATTGTCCTGTTTTATAAAAAGAATAAATTGAAAAGATTTCAGAGCATTGTACGGTACTAGCTTTATAGATTTGCGCCTTTATATCTATGCTAGAATTAAGCTTCATTCCTTGCTCTTCTCCTCAAACCACTCCACATATATTCCAACCCACTTCATGTTAAAAAAAAAAAAAAGAATATAAAGAATATAAGTCTAATTGTGGATTGGGGAAGGCAGCAAAGGAAAGTCATTTTCAAATATTATTTCCCCCTGAGGCCAATTTTACATACCATGGCTTCTTTTTATAAACAGGACTATAACTCTCACAATTGTTTGAGTCCAGTTGTGGTTTATATATTGTGTGGGATGGGAATAACTTTTTGTTTTATGGAAGAAGTATTTACATATGTGGTAAGAAGGGTCATTGGCATAAAGCTGTGTATGTTTTGTGTTCGGTCCCATTTCTCTTCCCCTATACTATCTTAAAATTTTATTCTTCAGGAGCCAGATTTCCTTTGGCTCCCGAAATACAGTTCCCTTAGTCTTTAAGGACTATTCTTAGATAGGCTACTGATAGCTGTAGCTTTGCTCTCTCTTAATTTAAACTAAATCATTCAAATTACAAGTATAAGCATTTGCATCTGACTCAGTGAACTCTTAACACTCAAGGCAAATTTCATTCTTTTACTGTTTGATGTCTTCATTGGATGATGCTTGAACTTTGTTTTTATCTCCAGTATATTAGCAGCATCGAAAACTGTCCTTTGTCCTGCTCTCCTTTCCTCCACTACCTCTGCCTTTTCCCTTTGTATCTTAAGCCAATTAAATGTAGCATGCACTTCTCTTTTGTGATAGTGGTTTAAGTAAATCTCTTTTAAAAAGCTGTTTCCAAAAGATTAAGTTAAATGGGAGGGGAGGAATGAAAAAAGTGCACATTTCCCCCACCTATTAGTATCAGATTTGTCTTGTTCTGTGACCTACAACTTAGTTCATGAGTAAAGCATACTTAATGAAAGTGTGAAGATCATAACCCTGTTTTCCACCATTGTTACACTAACTTCTGTAGACTCATTTTTAGTTGGAATTTAGAACTAGATGAAAAAAGTCATTAAAGTGGCCTTATTAGAGACAGTTTTTGCTTCAGATATGTTCAGTGTCAGCTATCTCTTCCAGTGGTGGCTGTTCTGTAGAACCATTTTATTTGGAAATTAAAAAGCTTGTTACAGAGCTAATCTAGCTAGATACTAATTTATCTTGGACTTTGCTTTCTTGGTGATTTTTAATTCCTAATTTTCTTTTTAGCTGGGAAAACTCTTCAGATATTTAACATTGAAATGAAAAGTAAAATGAAAGCACATACCATGACTGATGATGTCACCTTCTGGAAATGGATCTCTTTGAATACTGTTGCTCTTGTTACGGATAATGCAGTTTATCATTGGAGTATGGAAGGAGAGTCTCAGCCAGTGAAAATGTTTGATCGCCATTCTAGCCTTGCAGGGTGCCAGATTATCAATTATCGTACAGATGCAAAACAGAAATGGTTACTTCTGACTGGCATCTCTGCACAGGTAACATTTATAGTTTTTATTAAAGAAAAAATCTAAAATTCTTAACATGTCTAGAGTACAGTTTATTTTGAAATTAGGTCTTTTGTTCTGAATCCTGTTGATTCTGATGTATTTTTGGAAGACTTTTTATCTTTTAAACAAAGATTATTTGCTTAATTGCCTTTATACTTACAATTACAGAGGACTTTTACTAAGTGATTTTAGATCTGTCTTGCAGAGTAAGTTGGTGTGTGAATGATTTGAAATTTGTCATGGATATTGACTTTAACATACTTAACTCTGTTTTTTTAAGTTTAGTATAAAGAGATGGTTATACATGTGGCACGTCTTAATATTCATGTTAAGTTTTTTTTTTTTGACAATTCAAATGCCACTCTGAACACATGTGGTTCAAGAACACTCAAATGACATACCACAAATATAGTCCAATGTTAAGATACTGGTCTTCAAACATTCAAACATTATAGTCAGTGGTGCCATACTTGCTGTGATCTTGCTAACATATATATACACACTCAGTGGCCACCAAACTTCTGCAGAGCTTCCTTAATTGTTATTTGAAGCCACCAATTTTAGCATGGTTGACTTTTTTTTTTTTAAAGCTCTGAGTAGTTATAGGGATCTCATTAAGATTTGGAATAACCAGCTCAACCCTGGCATAGTGCAAATGTGACTGCTAGAGGCTTGGAGGATGTCAAAGTGGTGTTCACCAGCACCAGGTCCTTGCTTACATGGTTACAGAGAAATTGTGCCTTCTTTCTAGAATGGAAAGTCTGTTGCCCTGAACCATTGCAATGCAAGATAGCACTTTAATAAGATAATATTTGGAGCTAACCTATAAATTAAGAGGTAGCAAGTCTACTTTGAAATATTAAATAACAAATAATTTATAAATTCTGCTCTAAGAGTAATTATTCCACTAAGTGATGAATCTAGGAATAAATCCCCTAAATTTATTCTCTTTGATTCTTTGTAGCAAAATCGTGTTGTGGGAGCTATGCAGTTATATTCTGTGGATAGGAAAGTGTCGCAGCCTATTGAAGGTCATGCAGCTAGCTTTGCACAGTTTAAGATGGAAGGAAATGCAGAAGAATCAACATTATTTTGTTTTGCAGTACGGGGGCAAGCTGGAGGGAAGGTAAGTTCTGACTTTGGAAATTATTTTAATGAAAACTTGTATTTTTCTGTTGCTAGTTAATTTCAAAGTCTTTGTTAATTTATTTTTAACATTCAAATTTATGCTGTTCAAATTCTTTGGTGATTTCCAGCTAAAACAAATAATGTTCTTAAACAACTTTTTGATAAAAGCTGTTTACAGTAAAACTTTCTGATTGTCCTTCTATTAATTTGTTGTTTTTCAAATTTACAATGTATAGGAATCAGTAGGCTAAAATAAAATATACTTTTGTATGCCTTACATTTCGAGGGTCTTGATTCAGCAAGTGGCTCTGTATTGTAAATATCCTAGGTTACTTGATAAAGGGAATGTAGACTACAGTCTCAATCTTGACTGTGTAACGGAATCACCTGCATAAATTGAAGTACTTTCTGTGAAATGGTTCTTAGTTGCAGGTAGCAGAGAAAAGTTCTGGTTGATTTCAAGCATAAACAATTAGTGAAAAATATAACCATGCTTGGAAAATGAAAAGAATAAGAGGGGATGGGCAACAGTCAGAACTTTGGCCACAATTCCTGCCAAAGAGCCTTGAGGGCTCTGCTGCTACTGTGATTGCACTGAGGATGTCACAGCCTTGGAGACTTGGTTTGACTGCTGTTAGCACTCTCAGAGTGGAATCTCTGAAGTCTTAATGTTTCTCCATTTTGAGTAGTTAAAAGTAAGATTGAGATAGCTTACATATATAATTATAGCCTCTAAGAAGGGAGGACACATGGAAAGAAAGTAGCCATTCTGCCTAGAATTTCAGAATAAGAATTCCTGAATCAAGAATGGACCTACCAACTTCTTAGTACAACAATGACTGAAAAACACTTGAGTTGATGGAATTTAAGCAAATAGATTTTACGAATCAGATAGTATTTTTAAGATGGAAGACCTGGACATTTAAAATATTTATTTTGTGAAATCCTGCTGGAAAAAAAACGAATAGTATCTCAAAATCTATTTATAATGTTTTGTTTTTTTTTTGCCTGTTTGGTATATTGCATTATATGTTTTTGTAGTATGCCTTCACTTTTGAAGGTTTAATTTTTTAATATGACTAGTTAGGCTATTTAGGTATAAAATTTTGTAATTTTCATGTACATATCATGGAAATGGTTTTAATGTTTTTCTGAGTCTTCCTGATATGACTGAGCAAAATAAATTATGTTCTTTCATTGACATTTTTTCTTTTCCTTGCTTTACTGACATGCAGCTTATACATTTTAAACCCAATGCTTCCATTTATTTTAAGGTTTATATTTTAAGTTGATACAACTTAGGTGGATACTAGAGTTGCTATATGGGGAGAGAGGAGTTTAATAACTTATGTTCGATTTATATTTTGAAATAATAAATTATAATTGAAAGCCATAAGAAAGCACCTTTGTGATAATGTATAACATTTTTTTACTTTGAGTTAAATTACTTGAGATGTGATTGTTTCCCTTACTCAACTGGTTATTTAAGTTTTTATTTTGAAATAATACTTACTCATGGGAAGCTGCAAAGACAGTACAGAGAAATCCTTTGTCCTCTTCCTGCTCCCATAGTTACATCTTACATAGCTATCCTACAGTAGAAAAATCAGAAATCAAGATTAGTACAATTATGTAATTCCATGTCATTTTATGAGTAGATTCTAGATACCATTCCATTTTCACAAAGATTTCCCTAGTGCTTCCCATCTGTCACACATCCTTCCTCTTCCCAAACATCCCTAACACCTGACGACTAATTCTCCATTTCTTTAATTTTTTCACTTTAAGAATGCTATCTATGTAAAAAGAAACATACTGTATGTGACCTTTTAAGATTGGCTTTTGTTTTAAACTCACCATATGGTTATGAGAATTCTTTTTATTACCAAAAAGAATAAATTAAAAATTCAGTAAAAACTGTATTCTGTTGTATGGATATACAGTAGTTTAATATTCACCCACTACAGAATATTTTGGTTGTTTTCAGGTTAGGGCTGTAAATAAAGTTGTTTTGGTCAACTGCTAAAAGATCTAGGTTCATATAAGTTTGATTTCCTTTTGAACAGTTACATATCATTGAAGTTGGCACACCACCTACAGGGAATCAGCCTTTTCCAAAGAAGGCAGTGGATGTTTTCTTTCCTCCAGAAGCACAAAACGACTTTCCTGTTGCAATGCAGGTATTTTCTAAGAAAAATAAATGGTCTTTAATATTTTCTCAACTTAATATAATCTGAAAACTGCCCATAATCAGTATAGTAGGTGGAGCTCATAAGAGTAAGTTTATTTGAAATAAAGTGTATTAGAACTTTATAAGGTAATGCCCTACTTATTAGTAATTTATAAACTGGATTATCCCAATTTACTCAGAATTATTTGTTATTTCATTCATTCATATTCTTGTGTTTTATGAAAGGCTGTGATATCTGTATTTAAATGTACTATATAAAGAATGGAAACCATAAGTATTTTAAATTTTTCATACAAGCCTTATCAAAGTTTTAGAATTTCACCACCTCTCAAATAGAATTGGAGTAAATTTTGGTTTATGAATTCATTATTTTACTGATGTGTTGATTTTCTTTGAACAGATCAGTGAGAAGCATGATGTTGTATTCTTAATTACTAAGTATGGCTACATTCACCTCTATGATCTTGAGACTGGTACCTGCATCTACATGAACAGAATCAGTGGAGAAACAATCTTTGTTACTGCACCTCATGAAGCCACAGCTGGAATAATTGGAGTAAACAGAAAGGGACAAGTAAGGAAACCTTAAAAATTAAGAGAAAATACCACCTACTATCATCCTTTTTCCCCCACCATGTATATAATTTTTATTGTCAGAAAAGAATACAAGAGACATGCTATAAATCTCTTTTTAATCCTAGTAGAAATTGTTTGGCATATAGTTATCTAGGATTTTGTGTATTTGTCTTCATTGTCAAAAAATAACTTTCATTCAAAGAAACTTCTAGGTTCACATTTAACAGACTACAAACTTATTAATATTTTCTTTTTACAATCTTAAGACATTATCAACTACAAGAAAACAAGTTCTTCCTACATCTGTTTTCCTAAACTTTGTTAAATAGTTAATGGAGGATGATACATTACAGTAACTATTCTGGGGTACCAGGAAAGTTACCCAATTAGGGATATTTTCTGAATCGGTCACATTCGATAACCTCTTCACATCACCTAGTAAGTGGTCCTTTTTGTGTTGCTAGTATTTAAATGTAATTTAAAATATTCTACCAAAAAGTATCTTATTTTCTAAAAAATTATTAAAATTTCAAAACAGTACATTTTTGCTCTTTCCTTTTACTAGTTTTCCTCCTAATAAGTATTTTTCTCCAGTAGTAAAGCAAAGGAAATAAATAGCCCTTGTTCTGTTAATGTTTAGAAAATGCTATGTAGGGCCCTCCTTGGTGGCACAGTGTTTTAAAGCGCAGCACTAAGAAGCTAGCCGCAGCCGCTTCGGCACAAGTTTGATCCTGGCCGGGGGGTGACCCACATGTCACAGCAGACCTTTCCTGTCTCTCTCACAGCTCTCCTCAGCAGTGTGCTTCGTCATTCTGCCTGTTCTGCTCCCCACTCTATCTCGGTGAATCCTCTCACCCCCAAACCTCTGGCCTGTACCACAGTTCTGTATGTATAAGTAAATAAAATTTAAAAAGAAAAAAATGATATATATACAAAAAGGGAAATGCTTTTGGAAATGGCAGTCTTTTCCCTACATATCAACCCTACTTTAGCTATATACCTGATAAAAAGTATTCTTGCTTTAGCCCCTAGAACTTATGTAGTCCTCCTAATAGGACTTATCATACTGAAATTGCTGTGTCACCATTCTTCATTAGAAAAAGAACTTGCTTTTCTCTTTTTAAATGTATTTTGACACCACTCAGTCTCTGGCACAAAAGCAACTTTAAAAATGTAGTAGCTCTAATTCAGTTGCATATCTCTTGCTCAGAAAAAAATCAAGAATGCATTAGCCTTTTCATGAAGTAGGTAAGTGATAATGTAATAATCATGAAGTTATATTAAGCCAAATACCTTTTTAACTTCTGTGTTGATGTTTTAAAGATAATGCTTAAAGTATCTTTGAGTAATTTTACCATATATGAAATTCATAACCGATTTTGGGAACATGTTTATTTTTCCCCACAGAATTCTATGTGCCAGCAGCTTGAATAAGGAGCATGGGTGTTCACAATACTTTTAGGTTTCAGGACTTTGCTCTTTTGATCAAAGCAGGTTATAACTGGGCATGAAGCTTAGGAATGAGTGTGAATGGTTTAAATGACATTTTTTGCTAGTATTTAGCTTCAATTCTGAATTGGGGTGATTTGAGCAGAAGTTACAGGAATCTTGTCTGTCTCCTGTAGATCTTAAGTACTGGATATTAGTAATGTGTTAAAAAATTATCTAAAAGTAGGATAAAGATGAAACTGGGTTTGGTCTTTGGGAAAGTGGATTTGCTCATCTTATTTTTCGTAAGAGATAAGCATTTAAATTAGGGATAGAAGAAGTCAGGAATGAAAGTGGCTAGTAAAGGAAGTTATTACTTCCTTTCTTTATTAAGGTATGCCTTACTATAGAGTAGAATGACATATTAACTATACATATACATGATGGTCTGAAACTTTTAAATTGGGGTCTCAGGTATAGAAATAAAAATATTTTGGAGATTAAAATTTTCAATTTTCTTCAAAGGGAATAAAATTACAGTCAACATAAACCATTGACTAACAGTTTGGTTATTGTGTTCTCAACTTGTAGTCAATTCTTTCTTATCTTTAGACAGAACTTTCCCATTTATTTAATATTACACATGTATATTTTAAGATTTATTTATGTATGCAAGAACTGGAGTACAGGCCAGAGGTGGCTGTGAAAGGAAACATCAGAGACAGAATGGGGAGCAGAACAGGCAAATTGAAATAAACTGAGGAGAAAAGTGGCAAGACAGGAGAGGTCTGCTGCACCATATAGGTCACGTCCCTGCCTGGGAATAGAACTTGTGCTGTAGTGGCTGTGAATAGCTTCAGAGTGCTGTGCTTTAATTCCTTGGGCCACCAGAGATGGCCCTACATACGTATTTTTCTAAAACACTGCATGTTGCTAATAATGCAATTAAATAAAGGTAAGTCCCTTTACTTGTGAGGAATAATAATTAAGAGATACACAAGCAATTTTAGTAGTACAATTAGTATTGTTGGGGGTAATAAGCTGGGGTATGTAATAAAATGGTGTTAGGGAGAATAATACATACCTAAATGAAGGATTCCCTTTCCCTGTGGTCATTAATAGTTCAACTTATAGGCAAATAGGGAACATTCTGTGGCAGTGACATTTTAGGAGGATTAGTGGTGGTTAACTATTCTCCAGGTAGAAGCAAGTGGAAATTGCTTTTTACTGGTGCCATATTTATTAAGCACCTACTATATACTTTGTGTTATAGTTAGATGCCTGAGATTTAGTGGAATCTGACCATATAATTATTTTGGGAGCAAAAGATTTAGGATCAGAGTTTGGAAAGTATAAAGTAAGGACTCACATATTACAGAATTGCCAATTTTAGGAACTCAGATGCTAGTACCCTTTCATCTTCTCTCCTAACACCAATTTTTAATTTTATTTTTTCTGGGAAGAAAAGTTGTCATCTTTGTGACTCAGATAATTGACTCAAATAAATTTGGTATTATTGACATCCAGATTAACGTTATGCATTCACTAATCTTTAAATTGCAGGTTCTCTCAGTATGTGTGGAAGAAGAAAACATAATTTCTTATATCACTAATGCTTTACAAAATCCTGATTTGGCTTTGAGAATGGCTGTACGTAACAACTTAGCTGGTGCCGAAGAACTCTTTGCCCGGAAATTTAATGCTCTTTTTGCCCAGGGGAATTACTCAGAGGCAGCAAAGGTGGCTGCTAATGCACCAAAGGTATATAGTTATAAAATGAAGTTACATGATTGAATTTGTGGTGTATGTTCTATTATTATTTAATTTTGTTTTTCTTTTTTGCTCTATTTATAATCTTTTTTGGTTTACACTTTTCCTGTAGTAGAATATGAATTACCCATTGATGTTTATAGATTGGGTTACATTTTTGTGCTCTAGATTTAGTTAGCTTTTAGAAAGAAATGTAGATCTAGAATGGGACATATTTATGTAGACAAAATAATGTTTAGTTAGTTAAAATACTGCTTCACATTCTCAGTGATATCTAGTGATTTTATTTCCAAAAGTTGAAGTTTAAGCAGAACCTTGTTAGTTATGGTAGTAAGGGTTGTCTGAAATATGACTGAACTTATTCTCATGTCTTACATTGGGCTGACACCTTTCATTTTGACCAACATTATAAAAATTGCACTTAATGTGAACCTAGAATAACAGTTTGCCATAACTACTTAATGATTATGCTTATTCTCCTATAGATTGGCATTGTAATGAGCAGTGTCATTGATATATTTCTGATTCTGAGTAATTTCATAACATTATGACAGATGTTTAGTGGTTTTTTTCTATTTAACATAGTATAGATTTGAAATCTGTTATTAGTACATGGAATGGGTATAGAAATGAAAATATTTAAGGTTGATTTAAGAGACCCATGTAATTATTGGTGTGAAGCAGAATCACCTTTAAGGAGTCTTTACTACTTTTCTTTCGTAAAGGGAATCCTTCGTACTCCAGACACCATCCGTCGGTTCCAGAGTGTCCCAGCCCAGCCAGGCCAAACTTCTCCTCTCCTTCAGTACTTTGGAATCCTTTTGGACCAGGGCCAGCTAAACAAATATGAGTCCTTAGAACTGTGTAGGCCTGTACTTCAACAAGGACGGAAACAGCTGTTGGAGAAATGGTTGAAAGAAGATAAGGTATGGTAACTTAGGTTAAGCATACTTGTGCTTAGCAAATACTGCTGCATTAGCAAATGAGAAACTTGTAGGCTGTCCAAAATGTCTCCAGCCATTATTTACTGCTGGTGGAAACAAAAACACAAGGAAAGATGCTACATGAAATGCATAAACTTATTTCCTTTTAAAAATGTATTTTTATGATGTGTTGATATGACTTTTTTTATTTTTAGTTTTTAAAAATGAAATCCAGGACTCTTACTTAGTGGTTAAAACTATTACCTTGGAAGCAATTATTGCCCTTTATCTTTAGGAAAAGCTTATTCTGGGTCTCATAGCTGCAATATGCATTCCTATTTGTCAACATTTGTTACATTCATTTGGTTGAAAAAGTAGTTTGAGTATGGCTGAAATCATCTTTTGTTTTAGAACTGCCTAGGTGTTATCAAGATTGAGGTCTTTGCTACTAGTAACCAACTGTGTTTGGATGTGTAAGGGAAGATGTTATAAAATGTGGGATTGTGAATATGTAAACATGATAGTAGGACTGTTTAATTAGCAGTGATAATAGTTTCAAAAAATGACTTCACAGAATTTGGCATTTTGTGGATAACGCAGTTTCTTGAAGTTCATTTAAATGTAAATCTTTAAGATAATTTTTAATAACCAACTTTCTTTACAGTAGGATTTCTTTGTGCCTTTGATACTCACTCACTACTTACTATTTTTCTTGAACACAGAACATTTAATGGCATTGTTTTCTAGAGCACAATATGGAAAACGGTGCTTATTTATAAGGCATCTAACAGAGTTATACAGTTCATCAGTGTTAACTATTTTTTATGCCACCATAAAATGTCTTTCTCCACTAAGTGGGAATATTGAATTTTATTGTCTTATGCCATTGATTTGCCATATTTCAGTTCATGTTTCAAGAACTGAGGTGGTATTACTTAAAGCACTTTGAATAGTGTAGAACTTTTAATGTTTATATGCCTTTCAGCATTAGTATATATTGAACAGTGTTTTTACATTACTAATTCCAAGTCCTTGTTTCTTGACCTAGCTTCTGGCAATCTTATAGGATACTGGAGAATAGTACATCAGAGGTGGGATGCTTGGACAGGAGTCTGCTGAAGAATAGTTACTAGCCACACTAGCTAGTATTTGAGGTCTGTTTTAATTGTTTAAGATAATGGATGATGGGAACAGTCAGGTAGCTGAGTTGACCAATGTAACTGAAGGCTTTTGGGGTACCATTACTTTTTTTATGTGAGTGGTTATATGGGATCTACTTGTAAAAGGGTCAGAGTCAACTTTTCATTAGTTAGCATGTTCAGTTAAGAGACAGACTCAGAAGAACTCGTTTCTTCTTAGTACTGAATATAGTGATAGGGGTCTTTTTCTGTCATAACCATGAATAAGAGAAAATCAAAAAATAGTATGTAAGTGAAACATTTTAGGGAAAGCTGCTTTCCAGATAGGATGGCTAAATCAAATTGAACAGTATAGAGAAAGGTACTTGCTTATATATCACAAAAAAATTCTTAAACTTTTGTTTGACTTTGTATAATTGGTGTCCTCATTTACTACCTTAAATCTTAAAATCAAGAAGATAGTGAACTTTAAATCTTTCAGATACCAGTTTTATGGTCCTTAATGATAATCCTCATTTGACTCCTTAAGTATTAATGAAAAGCTATAGTATTTTTGAAAAATTGGGACCATGTAAGTACCAACTCTAATATTTCTAGAAGTACAAGATCTGCTCTTTTTCAGTATTTAACATTCCTAACAAAGTAGTTGGTAATACCTGTATATGTGATGTTTTTGGTGGACTTTTTCTCCTTGTTTACGTACAGTGTATGAAGAATTCTGCTGAAACATTGCTGTGGTTGTAAAATCAGCAGTCTATACTACCCACAACCCCTGCATAGTTATAATACATTCTGGGGAAAAAATGAATAACAAAGTGTCTAGTATCATATTTAGTTGTTACTTATAGTGAAAGTAGTATCAACTGCTCATTTATAAAATAGCTGTGGATTACCAAGCAATTTGTTTTTCCTTTGTACAGCTGGAATGTTCTGAAGAACTGGGTGACCTTGTAAAATCTGTGGATCCTACTTTGGCACTTAGTGTGTACCTAAGGGCTAATGTTCCAAATAAAGTCATTCAGTGCTTTGCAGAAACAGGTCAAGTACAGAAGATTGTTTTATATGCTAAAAAAGTAAGTTCAGTGAAATAAACTTCCTGTATAGATTCATTAAAACATTAAGAGAAAATATATACTAAATTTTGGTGATTTCAAAGGTAGACTGTCCTTATATTGTGAATTACTTTTAAAACCCTTTTTTAGTTCTCATATAAAGAATTCACATTGGCTTAAAATAGAGGTAGTTACTCTTGCATGGCTTACTAAAATTTAAGATGACAGGCATGCTTTACCTATTTAGAATAAATAGTGAAGTGGTCATTCACTGAAAATGATTATACTTAGTTTTAAGTCTTACAGCTATTTATTCAAGTATGTCATTATCATTTGCCTAATATAAGCTAAGATCACATTGAAATACTTAAGTTAAATTCAATTTGCACTAGATATATGTTAGCAAGGTTGTGTTATAGAAAACATTTTTAAATGATAAAAGTCAAAACTTTGCATGAAGGTTTAAGTTTTTGTCTGTTTGTAGGTTGGATATACTCCAGACTGGATCTTTCTTCTGAGAAATGTTATGCGTATCAGTCCAGATCAGGGACAACAGTTTGCTCAAATGTTAGTTCAGGATGAAGAGCCCCTTGCTGATACCACACAGGTAAAATGTATTCTGTAGAAGTTGATATAAATGGAGTATGGTAGGATCTGAGTTTAAACATCTTTGGAGAAGAAGAGGATAACCTTTCAATTTGTAGAAATTAAAGCTGTGTCTCTGCATGGATAAACTTCAAGTGTTTTTAAAAAAGATGCATAATGGACATACCATCTAACATACCATCTATGTGTACTTTTAAAACATGCATGCAAAATGAATGCTATCTTACTTAGATATAGATTTATTAAATACATATGGAAATGATAAACTATAGTTGCTATTGCTAGGTGAAGGGAGAGGGAAGAGGAAGTAGGAGTCACAATCATTCATACTGTTTGTGTTTATGTATTTTAATTACATCAAAATTAAGCCTTGAAAGCTATCAGTTTCATTTTATTATACTTACGGTATTTTGAAATATTCAGTAGTTCTGTTTTCACAGAAGTAAAGATTAGTCCAGACCATTAATTTACTTTTAAATTAATGACATTAATTTCTCCAAATAATATTCTTTGAATTTGCTCTGGCAATTTTTTTTTTTTTAAAGATTTATTTATTTATTCATACAGAACTGGGGTACAGGCCAGAGGCTCAGGGGCGGTGAGAGGCTTCACCAGAGACAGAGTGGGGAGCAGAACAGGCAGATCGACGAAGTACACTGCCGAGGGAAGCAGCGGGCGGGCCAGGAGAGGTCTGGCTCGCCATGTGGTCTCCTCCGGGGCAGGCGGCAGGCGGGAATCGAACTCATGCGGAAGTGGCTTCAGATTCTCAGTGCTGTGCTTTAACCCGCTGCGCCACCAGGGAGGGCCGCTCTGGCAATTTTTTATATGAAAAGGATAAAAATTTAATTTCTTCTCCTTACATATTGTCAATAGTATCATAAAACAGTTTTTAGACATCATAAGTTTATTCTGGAAACCTATACTGTGTTGTAAACTAATGTTAACTCAATAAAAAGAAAAGGAAAACAAGTCCTTTTTTTTTTTTTTTTTTGTAGCTTGTGGATGTCTTTATGGAATACAACCTAATCCAGCAATGTACTGCATTCTTGCTTGATGCCCTGAAGAATAATCGCCCATCTGAAGGCCCGTTACAGACACGCTTGCTTGAGATGAACCTTATCCATGCACCTCAGGTTTGTGTTAATGCTTTTTAGGCATTTTCTGAGCATTGTCTTTATAGTTGTTCAGAGCTTCCTAGCTTAAGTTATTTGAAGCTATGGAGAAATCTATTTCAAAGAAAAGTTAGCTAACATTCCTTTGTGTGCTCTCTCCTTTGTCAGCTCACTATTGAATGTGTAACGTGGATATAGAATATGGCTATAAATAAAGTAGTAAAATGAGCTCATTCTATTTGATTTTGCTATTTGTGATTTTATAGGTTGCAGATGCTATTTTAGGAAACCAGATGTTCACACATTATGACCGGGCTCATATTGCTCAGCTATGTGAAAAGGCTGGCCTCCTGCAGCGTGCATTAGAACACTTCACTGACTTATATGATATAAAGCGTGCGGTTGTTCACACTCATCTTCTTAACCCTGAGGTAATTTGACTCTCCTACCTACTGAAAATGTGACACTGAATGATAATTTCATCTCTGTGAAGTTCAGTATTATTTTATATATTTATTTACTTATTTTGTCCTATAGTGGTTAGTGAATTACTTTGGATCCTTATCAGTAGAGGACTCCCTGGAATGCCTCCGGGCCATGCTGTCAGCCAACATACGTCAGAATCTGCAGATCTGTGTTCAAGTGGCTTCTAAGTATCATGAACAACTGTCAACTCAGTCTCTGATTGAGCTTTTTGAATCTTTCAAGAGTTTTGAAGGTAATAAGGAACTTTTGAGTTGTTTTTAATTAGGGTAGTCAAGAGGAGTTTTCTTAATGATTATAGCCTGTTGGAAATGCTGTCTTTCTATGAACTCAATTTTATGGGACTGATTAATTTTTATAAACCAGTAAATCTTGTCAGGCATCAATGCGATGTACATGATTAGAGTTTTATAAGTGGATTAGAGGCTGAATTTTAACATAAATATATGTAGTTCTCTAATTGTATAAAATGCAAATAAAGACTGATGATTGGTTACATGAATATTCCATACTTGTTCTGACTCTTAAAATAGCAAATATTTCTAGCCAAGGACAGTTTGTAACTTGTTGTTATAAAGTAGGTTTTCTTAACCTCAACACTACAGACATTTTGGGCTGGATAATATGTTGGGGTTAGATGTGCTATGTTATCAGTGTCATGCAGGTTATTTAGCATTCCTGACTATATCCAGTGATTGCCTGTAGCAGTCAGTTCCACCAGCTGTGATCAACAAAAATGTTTCCAGAAATTGCCAAATGTCTCCTGGGAAGAAAATCGCTCTCACTTGAGCAGCACTGCTGTGTTCATGTAAATCACTTATTGAATGATCCTTAATTTCCGTAGCTACATTGGTCCACAATTACCTTTTCTTCCCTGTTTTTTGTTATTTTACACTGGGTAGAAGATTTCTACTGGTTTTTTAAATTTTCTGAATTTCTGTATATCAAATAATCACTAAATTTTAACTAGCCCTTTATTAGTGCAGTAGCCACTAGCCACATGGAGTAAGTGTGTAGATTTCAAAGTAATTGAAATTGATTTAAATTAAAGTTTAGTTCTCTGTCACAATAGCCACATTACAGATTTTTTGTAGACCCCATAGTAGATACAGTGCAGATCAAAAAGATTCTCATCCCTGAAGAAAGTTCTGTGGGGACAGTACTACATTAAAGTCTCACCAAACTAGTTTTGTATGTTTCCTATAAACTGTGTAAGAAAAAACACCTGTTGTTGTGGGACTTCCTTTGAAATGTCACATTTGGAAGATGGTGTATTTGTTTAGCTTTGATATTACGTAGTTGCCTCTTACTTCTTAAGTATTAGAAAAATTGTGTTATATTTTCTGTTTTATAGATTTAAAGTGAAAATCCATTTTTATTAAACTATTGGATTCATTAATATTTCTATGAGTTTTATGAGCTACCAGTTTTTATTGGGGAATATACCAATTTTCAAAAATTATTTTTGTTTTGTCACCTATGGTGACACCTGTCATTAATTTCAGTTATTTGTTTCTTTAAGGTCTCTTTTATTTTCTGGGATCCATTGTTAACTTTAGTCAGGACCCAGATGTGCACTTTAAATATATTCAGGCAGCTTGCAAGACTGGACAGATCAAAGAAGTAGAAAGAATCTGTAGAGAAAGCAACTGCTATGATCCTGAGCGTGTCAAGAATTTTCTCAAGGTAAGTGGTTTTAAGTTATGTGTTTTGTAGTTGGTTTGAAGGCCAGCTGCTCTACAAGATTTTGGTCATTGTTTTATAATGTTTTTTCCCTAAATGTGAAGATCTTAGCATTTATAAATTGTGTTCTGAATTATTTCTTCCAAACAAAATACTCGTGGTTTCCTTTGAAATAGGGAAGGAAATTGGTAAGTAATACTTAAGAATGGCCATTTGTTTAAAAGAAAAAATAGCACTATTTAAAAGGAAAATACTCTTTTATTTTAACCTCAGGGAAAAAAAGTTTTGAAAAGTGGCTGTAGACTCTAAAAGTCATTTTAGAATATCATTTAGATTCCTTTTGAATATTAAGATCATCTTACTCCTGTTATTTTAAAGAGCCTTTATTGTATGCAAATAGTTCATAGATTTATGTGTTATCAAACTAACCTCTCAAGAAACTAAATTTAAATTCCATAAAGTGCATAAATTGAAGGTAAGGTCATATAACAAAAACTCCACTTTGTGATACATAAATTTATAGAAACATAAGATCTGTTTGTATTTGAATGAAGTAATGATCTACCTATTAATTACTTAGTGAGGAAAATAAACATTTAGAATGTGAAGTTGTCTGGCAAAGGATGAATCAGAATTTTAATGATGAATTTAACATTATATATATCTCTTTTATTGAAACAAACCAAAATGTTCATTGTATAATAAGTAGGAAATTTCCTTACCTTTATGCAGCTGTCATTGTATTAGCAGATTGTTCTTTTTAGATTTTATTTATTTATGCATACAAGAACTGGGGTACAGGCCAGAGGCATAAGGGGTGTGAAAGGATTCACCAGAGACAGAGTGGGGAATAGAACAGGTAGACTGACTCAAATACACTGTCAAGGGAAGCAGATGGTGGGACAGGAGAGGTCTGCTGTGCCATGTGGGTCAGCACTCTGGCCGGGGATCGAACTCATGCTGCAGTGGCTGTGGACAGTTTCAGAGTGCTGCACTTTAACCCCTTGCACCACCAGGGAAGCCTCTGAACAGCTAAATTCTTTTTTTTTTTTAAGATTTATTTTTTATTTATGCATACAGAACTGGGGTACAGGCCAGAGGTGCAGGGGCAGTGAGAGGCTTCACCAGAGACAGAGTGAGGAGCAGAACAGGACAACTGACGAAGTACACTGCTGAGGGGAACAGCGGGCCCGGTCAGGAGAGGTCTGCCGCGCCATGTGGGTCACCTCTGGGGCTGGGGATCGAACTCATGCTGAAGGGCTTTAGCTTCTCAGTGCTGTGCTTTGACCTGCTTGACCACCAGGGAGGGCCTGAGCAGCTAAATTCTTAAGGGGCATTGTGTAATAAGGTAGTTAATTAAATTTGTCCTGTGTTTTATATTAAAATATAAACTTCCCCCCAAAGCAGAATTTTATGATGTCTTGGCTATCATGGATAGTCTCAGTTGCCTGGCTAGTTTGAACCAAAGACTTCACTTATGTCTAAAAATCCTAGCAGATGAGAAAGATTTCATGCTACATGCTTGACTAGTGTACCCATAATACTAGTTCACTTCTTCTTTTCAGTATCAGTACTGCTTCCCCTTTTTAAAAAATATTACCAAGATTTTTTCCTAAGTAATAGGTTATACCAAGATTCTTAATACTAATTTCTTTGTTTTTACTAAGTTCTCAGCTTCTATGCTTCAACTGTAACTTTTATCAATAGGTTTTAATTTTGTTGTCATTTATTTGTAAAGCAGTACTAGACTATTTTCATTTAATTATGATTTTCTTGAACATAAAAAAAAATCTAATTAAAGAATTTAGCAGCCTTCGGGTTGTTCAGCCCATGACACCTAATTAGATATGCATTAAGTACAAGCCTAATAGAATAAGGGAGTAGATGTCTTCAGACCTGGTTCAAAATCCATTTCTTTCAGTTATTAGCTACTGTTTGTTAATTGAATGTATGCCTAGCTGTTATCTTGGGCTAGTTAACTAATGTGTTTCAGCCTTGATTTCAACTGCAAACAATATTTGTCAAGTACCTCTGTACAGTTAGTATTCCATGCATAACACTAATTATTAAGCTGTGTTAGTTGACCCTGGAAGTAAGGTAGAGTGTCTATATCTGATTTCTATCAGGCAGGTTTCTTTTTGAGTTTGTTATTTGTGACTCTTTGAAGAAACTTTAATTCCAGCCTGAGTTAGCGGCAAATCTAACGTGTTTTTAAATAATATGAACTGGAAGTTCAATATTAATATACAGCTACTATGTTCAGCTTCCCATCCCAGTAGCAAGAGTGATATATTAAGCTCTCTTTATTCATCTGTAGTATGTAGCCTTAATGCTGTATCTCATACCATTATTACTAAATCTTGGAGGTATTTTCTGTATTATTTATTGGTGTTAAGTGTAAACTCTGTAGTAACAAGAAAAATCCTTCTATAAATCTGGTCTAGAATATTCAGGTGCCAGTTATATACTAAACACTAAGAATACAGAGGTTGGTAAGATATATATAACTTTTCCTTTAAAGTAGCCTGTAAACAGGATCAAATAGTTATCATTAAAATGATTTGACTTATGCCCTAGAATATGGAAATGTTCTTCAGACCCATGATCTGCTTCTTAGTGCCTTTGATCTTATTTCTTATCATTTTTCCTGTCCTGGCTTCCCATCAACCGTATTTGTCTGTTTTGCTCTTCCTAGCGCTCCCTCAATTCTCTCCTGCTTCAGGACCTTTGCTTGTGCTCATATTCACTTTTCTCTCAGACATTCTTGACTTAAATCTTTTAACCTTCCTTCAGACTTTAAAGAAATCTCAAATTATCCTAAAGGAAACCTCTTTATTTCATTCTTACCTCCCCTATATAAATATATGTGTATAAATATATATATTTTTTATAACATTTAACTAGTATGAGACTTGTCTCTTCCCACCATATTGTAAGTTCCTTGAGGAAATGCTTATATTGTAGTTTCCTATATCTCTAGTATGTCAGAACAGCATATGGTGTGTAGACAATCAGAAAATATTAATTAAATGAATAATTTCATGTTTAGGAAAACCTCTGAACATGTTTATTTAATTTGTTTTGATCACAAAATCTAAAAGATAACTTTTCAGGAAATTATTTAAAGTATTAATAGTGTGACTTCCATTTATATAATCTTGTGCAAATTAAGACAAAATATCCTAGTTTTTGTCTCTTCTTTTAATCTCATATTTTCTTTTGGAACACAGTATCTTTCTTTGCCAGTACAAATCTTAAATATCTATGTATGAGACTAGAATACCTAAGTAAGCTTAGATTACTTGAAAGTTTATTTTCTTCTAAATAGTAATATTTAGTAATATTACTAAATTTAAATTAATATTTAAAATAGTATTTATATGTATATGTAACAGGATAAAGAGGTGAGTAGTGTGCTGTTCCACTAACTTTCTGGCATTTGTTTAATAGGAAAAACTTGGTCTGTTAAAATCCTTTGCATAGGTTGATTCTTTTCTATAAATGAATGATTATAGTAGCTGTTAGTAATGAGTTTTCTTGGTGATAAAAATACTGCTTTACTTTATACTTTCCTTGTTCTAAAAATCTGCATCTGGACTTCTACTTCAGATTTACAACTTTTTTTTTTTTATTCAGGAATTCTTATGACTTCTTCATTTTGTTTGGTGTTCTCTGAACATTTCAGAGACTACGTCTTCAAATTATTTATAGTTGGATGACTGATATGTGCTAGACTTAGGAATCATTTTATTCTAACCTTACTTAGTAGCTGTCACTGGGTTAGGTCCTACCTGCTTGCTTCTACTTTCTTAGTAAATTATCATTTAGGAATGTTTCACTGTGTATAAATGAATTCCTGATGGAAACTGTTGTTTTTTGTGCTGTACCTTATGTCTGTGGAATGTAACAGGACATGTATCAGGTAATGCCCAGCACAGGTCTTTCCTTTCTGTCTTGTAACGTCTATTTCAATCTACATAAGTAGGATTAGAGCTTTGTATTTATGTTGGTAAAAGCAGTTAGCAGTTTCAAGATAACCCTGCTTTAAGTGCTTTTTTGGTTTTAATCTTTTTCTTGTTGTTCCAGCATGTGGGTATATTTAATTCATGGTCACCATCATTGTGCTGCGTCTTGTAGACGTTATTATAATAGAGTGTTAGAGCCCAGACATATAGGTTGGAACTGGGAAAGGGGTAAGAAGTAAGTCATTAGTTTGAAATAATTGTGTAAGCCACTTTTGCCAGACTTTCATAAATAACTTTATATTCAGTTGAAAGATTCCTATTAATGAAAGTTCCTATGTAGTGATTTTACATTTTGAGTGTTATTAGTGGCTCACAAATTACTTAATTTGTAATATTTTGTGGTAAAGAGTATGTAGGAAGAATGTGGTATTTTGCTGTACATATAAATATTGCCTAGATAAATTAATTGAAACTGGGATGGACGTTCTCCAGATATTGGGACATTTCTTTAAGTAATTGCAAAGTTCATGTAAGCCTCTCTCACCATCATAGAACATTAAATCTCATATTAATTTAGATCTGATACTTTATACAAGAAGAAAATTAAAGCTGCTTTTTTGTGATTTTTTTTTTTTTTTTCAGGAAGCAAAGCTGACAGATCAGTTACCACTTATCATTGTGTGTGATCGATTTGACTTTGTCCATGACTTGGTGCTCTATTTATATAGAAATAATCTTCAAAAGTATATTGAGATATATGTACAGAAGGTAAGTGATACTTAGAGAACTTATGTATCTTTACTTCTTATTCTCAAAAAGTCTCATCTGTTTGAAACTGCCCAATAAGAGTGGTCTGCTACAGTGGCCTTATACATTTTTCTTAGCAGATTTCTTGCTTTGATGAGAACTGCTATAATTGAAAAAAGTTGGGTATTCTATTCCCTGCTTGAGAATAATATCTGTAATATCTTTGTGGAGGCCATAGATATTAAAAGCAGTTTTAAAACCATTTTCAATGTAGATAATTAGAAATTTAACCTCCTAGCTGCAGAAATAGAAAGTTTTACCAATGGAGGCTTACATTAGACAGTCTTCTATAGTCATTCTCTGACATTAGCTTCATAAGACTCTCTGATGCAGTAGTGAGGCAATCAGTTAACCAAGCCAGGCTTCCTGCTAAATTCCTCTATCTAATTGCAAATTTAGACACTCAGTTTTTTACTGAGTTTTGAACCTAAGCTTTATGCTATTTTGCTTATTGATTACATAGTGGCATTCTTCTTTTTTTTTTATTATTAACATAGGTGAATCCAAGTCGACTTCCTGTAGTTATTGGAGGATTACTTGATGTTGATTGCTCTGAAGATGTCATTAAAAACTTGATTCTTGTTGTAAGAGGTCAATTCTCTACAGATGAGCTTGTTGCAGAGGTTGAAAAAAGAAACAGGTATAGTACCATTTTAACCTTCACAACTCAGATAAATGAGGTTCTTTTTTTTTAAACGTGGTAATGGATTAAGACTAAAATAAAATGGGACCCTCCCTGGTGGCGCAGCGGGTTAAAGCACAGCACTGAGAATCTAAAGCCGCTTCTTCATGAGTTCGATTCCCGCCTGCCCCGGAGGTGACCACATGGCGTGGCAGACCTCTCCTGACCCGCCTGCTGCTCCCCTCAGCAGTGTACTTCATCAATCTGCCTGTTCTCCTCCCCACTCTGTCTCTGGTGAAGCCTCTCACCGCCCCTGAGCCTCTGGCCTGTACCCCAGTTCTGTATGCACAAATAAATCTTTTAAAAAAAAATTAAAATAAAATGCATGAATTGCTTAAAAGCTATTTCCTAAAGATATCAAACTTAAGAATGATAATCTAGTCAGCATTGTTCAAAGTCTTCTTTCTGAAATAGTACAGCTCATATAGAAAATCTGTCAAGCTGATTGATCACTTTTTGCATATTTAGATTTTACTCACAACTTGACTGTATAGTTTTAATGTAAAACATGTAAAAAGTCTGTCAGCTAGGTATAAAACCACTATATTTAACTAATTCTTTTAAATAGTATGGTGTTTCTTCAAGTATAATAAGGAAAAAAATTCCCTGTGTAATGGGCTCAATTAATGTTTCATTTGAATCCTAATATATTTAACTTAGGGATTTCTAATAAAGGAAAACATAGTATAAATTCTTCTAATACTTACAACATGACTTTTTTTTTTAAGATTTATTTATGCACACAAACTGGGTACAGGCTAAAGGTGTGGGGCGGGTGAGAGGATTCACCAGAGACAGAGTGGGGAGCAAAACAGTTAGATTGACTAAAACACACTGCTGAGGGGAGCAACGGGTAGGAAAGGAGAGGTCTGCCACCACCTGTGGGTCACCTCTGGCTGGGGATGGAACTCGTACTACAGTGGCTATGGATAACTTCATAGTGCTGTGCTTTAATAAACTCTTGCACCAGGGGAGTACCCATGTGACTTCAGTTGTTTTTTTTTTAACTGGGATTTTTTTTGATGAACTAGTATTAAGGAAGTCCCGATGTAGTAAATGAGATTGAAGTGTTGGGTTTTTTTTTTTTTTTTTTTGGTTTTGGTTTTTAAGAACAGTTCATTAGAAAAGAGAGAGGAAAGTAGAGGATTCCTGCATAGGCACAAGTGGATAGGAGAGATGCCCTGAAAGGGAGAGGTTTGCTGAGAGGCCAACATGTTTCCTGGCAGGCAGCCATAAGGAAAACAGAGGGAGGTCAGTGCAAAGAAGCCCCGGCAGGTGCAGGTCATGGGCAGGCAGAAGGCTGCTTTCCTGTGGAGAAGAGAGTGGATGGAAAGAAGCACCTGCATAGTCACAGGTGGACAGGACTGCAGCCTGGAGTGTTGGTTTTAACATGGAAAATTATTCCTCCTAGCAAAGCTGTCAAGGAAGCCTACAGTGTTTAATAGGCTGAATTGGTAAAAGTATCCTACTAAGGGTATTTGTAGAATTTGTATATGAATGTTCCAGCCAAAACTCTGCATTTAAAAGACAGTGGAGATAATGTAATACTGATCTTTGTTTGAACCTAGTTTGAAGTGATTATAAATCACCAATTTTACATTAAGATGTTTTAATTGCTTCTTAGGTCTAATACTTGAGAAAACAATCTTGTCTATCCAAGCAAATAGCCAGGTAGTTATTACAGGTAGGCAATTTGGTCTTTAAGTGGCAAATTATATTGTGATACACTAGATTCACATCTAAGTCGCTAGTTTCGATGTGCCTTAATTAATTTTTAGTCTTTCTATTGACACATCTTCCACATGTTTATAGGAACTTGAGTTTTGCTTTTATTAATTGAAAGTTACATATCTTTACTCTCTGGGAGTGTATTCATATTAAACTACATGAAATTGATTACCAAAATAATATCCTACTGCTCTTTCCCCATCTGCTTTTATTTAAACCATGATAAACATTGATAAATCCTGACCATTGTAAGAGTGTTCATATGACTGCTAAAATTATTAAACCCAGAGCTTCAAAGTTCCAGATTTTGTTCCCAATATGTATCTTACTATTCCTGTTGGCTGTAAGTAAAGTTGTATGTTGTGTTAGAAGTGATAACTAGACAGCCTAGTTTATTTTCTCGTACCACATCTCCACCCTGCCTGTAAAGTCTAGATATTCTGTCCAATCTAAAAATGTATCTATAAATCTGTGAATCTGTCTCCTCTTCAATAGTCTGTCTAGGTAATGGCATGAAATAGATTTTAGGAGAGTGGAGAACAGAAAGTCTTATATGCCTTGTGTGTAATCTTACACAAATCATTTAACCATCTGAGTCTTGATTTCCTAATTTTTATAGGGTTAATGTGAATTACAGTTAATGTATGGGAGAGCACAAAATTTGACCATAAGGTTCTTATGCAGTTAGCATGTCAAGAGTGTCATTTATAATACATTATGTATGTGTTGCCTTTTTTAGATTGAAACTGCTTCTGCCTTGGCTTGAGGCCAGAATTCATGAAGGTTGTGAGGAGCCTGCTACTCACAATGCACTAGCCAAGATCTACATAGACAGTAATAACAACCCAGAGAGATTTCTTCGCGAAAATCCTTATTATGACAGTCGTGTTGTTGGAAAGTATTGTGAGAAGAGAGATCCTCATCTGGCATGTGTTGCTTATGAACGTGGCCAGTGTGACTTGGAACTTATTAATGTGAGTACTGATTATAAATTTAACATTCTTTAAAAATTGTTAAATAATGTCAGATTAATGAATGTTGAGTTTCAGAGTGGCTTTAGGTAATAAGTATTTTTAGAAGGCATACTTATTTCAGCTACTTTAATGAAATAGTTATCTATATTTACTATTAAAGTTTTAACCCTACGTACAGCTTTTGTGTTTTCATTATATATACACATACATACATACTTTATACACATGTATTTACATGTATATACTCACATAATTTTCTAACCATGAGTTGTGCGTATCATGATCTTCTACCTATTCATTGTGTATTTCTTAAAAATAAGGATATTCTCTTTTCATAAATATGAATACTTTTAAAAGCCTACTTTATTCCCATTTTGTCAGTTGATTCAGTGATTTCCTTTGTAGTTTTCCCCCACCAGTTTAGATCCATATCTGGCCTGTCTTACATATAGTTGCATGTAGTTGTAGTGCTTTAGTTTCCTTTACTCTGAAAGAGTTCTTCAGCTTTTTTCTTTTATGGCACTTCTGTTAAAACTAGTTTTTTTTTTCTATTTGTAACTTTTTTCATTGAGATGAAATTTCACATAACAGAAATAAGTTGAAAATGAGTAATTCAGTTGCAGTCAGTTTTCTTGCAGTGTTATGTAATTGTCATGCCTGTCTAGATACAAGATTTTATTTCCACAGTCAGGAAACCTGGTACTCTTTAAATATTGCTCCACATTCCCCTTTTCCTTCCAGTCGCTGACACCTTGTAAACTGCCTGTTTCTCTACGTATTTTCTGATTACTTTTTAAAAGACTTTGCATTTTATAAAATACAATATTCTTAGCTCTGAATGTCACTGATGTTCCCTCCTCATTAGATTTAATTGTACATTTTCATCCAAAATACTGCTTAGGTGATTTTTGTTTTTTATGCTGTATGTCATGCAGAAATACCCTGATGTCCTTTGTGGAGTCACTTACAAAGCTGTTTTGTTTCTCTAGTGTATAATTACTGTATTTCTCTTGTAGTTATTAAGTAGACTGAGAAAACATGTAAGACCATACAGATATTCTCTTGTTCCCTTCTCTTCCCCAATTTAGAATTAATAGTGAAACAATGTGTTAGTTGCAAAATGATTTTCCAACTTCAGAATTTTCTCCATGTCACTCAGCACTCTGATTCTACTAGTTAACTTGTTTTGATGTTGAAATTAACTAGTTTTGACTGATAGATATACGAGGCCAGCTGAAAGGGTTTCTTTGTCATAGTCTCATTGTTCTTTTGAGCACTTCCTTATTTTCTGTCAGAAGTTATGCGAGGCTCATCTTGCACTTCCCCCAATACTAATATTATTTCCCTAGAAATATGAACCTTTTGAGTGGGAAATACCATTAGAAACCAGGAATGTTCCCACAGTATAATTGCATCTAGAACTTTTCATTGATATATGAAGTTGGAAATAATTATGCATCGCGTGTTTGTGTAGTATAATGTGTATTATATGCATACTAACGTGTATATAGTATACATGTACACATGTGTGTTGATATATATAATATACATTACGTGTTTGTATGTGTGTATGAATGTATACGGACATACTCACATTGGATAATCAACAGACAATAGTAAAACACTAAAATCTATGAAGATGGGATAACCCAGATATTGAAGCACATAATAAAACCTTTATAATTAAACCATAACACTAGTGCATGAATACATACACATTAAAGTAGAATACAAAGTCCAAAATAGACATTTTAAAATAACTTCCAGAAATTAATAGCTGTGTTTAGTTAATTTTAAGAAGAAAAATTTGGCTGTAACCTAATTGAGATCATATGTAAAAGTACTGTATTTTTCCCCTATAAAACAACAAGCAGGTCTAAATGACAGGAAGTAACCTTTAAAAATAATGTCAGTCTACAAAAAGCCTTTACTTTTTATCTTGAAGTTAACCTATAATATCCCATTTAGGTTTGTAATGAGAATTCCCTCTTCAAAAGTCTTTCCCGCTATCTGGTGCGCCGAAAGGATCCAGAATTGTGGGGTAGTGTGCTGCTGGAAAGTAATCCTTATAGAAGACCCTTAATCGATCAGGTAAGATTGGCAAATGTGTTTAAAGCTGTCTTTTTAATTAAAACTTTTCCTTTGCTGTATACTCAAATGAATTATTTAAATTTGAGAAGACTAATAAAAAGTACTAAATTAAATAAATGTTTATAATATATACTAAAGAAATATACTTGAAGAAATTATAGAATTATGTAAAACCCTCTCAGTTCATCATTGTTAAAATGAAAACAGCAAAGTGGGCATTTGGTGAGTAAGGATTGTTATTAGTACTTGAGAAGGGACTAAACTGTTTGACAACATTCAAAGTAGTTATAAGTCAGCAAAGAATAAGGATTAGAGAAAGTACAAAAGACATTTGGGTAATATGCAATTCTCTACAAAGCATAGAATTGCAAATATGATGTGGATTTACAACTATTATAAAGAGCATATATTTGCATGTAAATTATTGACACATCATTTTGAAAGCACTTATTTTAAAATCCTGAACATGGAATTGTAAAAAATGGTTCGTAAGGCCTGGTGAGTTAGGGGTTAAGTCTCAGCACTATCACCAGGATGGCCTAAGTTTGATCCAGGCCTGGGAGCTAACCCACATGGTGCAGCAGACCTTATCTATCTCACCTGCTACACCCCTTTGCAGTATGCTACAGTCAGTCTACCTGCTCTGCTCCCTACTCTGGTGAATCATCTCACCACCTGCATCTCTGGCTTATATTCCAGTTCTTCTACGCAAAAATAAGTAGATAAATCTTCTTTAAAAAAAAAAAAAAGGTTCTAAATATTCCTAGTAGAAATACAAATAAGGAAGAGAATAGATTGAACACTATGAAATTTTGGTCTTCTAGGAAGCATTTATAAGGAAAATTCCTGAGTAGATAGACAGCATCCAAGAAAAAATAAATTGTTGTAGTATCTGAACCATGCAAATAACTAAAAATAGAGCAATTACTGAGTATAAGATGCCAATCTACGTAGTGGGATAACATAACCATTAAAGTGATAATAAAAGATGGTTAATATGGGTAATTTCTTAATTGAGGAAAAGATAGAAAGAGTTTGGGTTTTTTTTCCCCCCCTACATGGCTGGTGTACATATGGATTTGGGTATATGTGGATTTGTGTAGAAAGACCTTTGTGAGGTAAATTTAAAGTTTATCTTTCCTACTTCAATTTCTGCATATTTCAAGTTTTTTACTAAGATGCCAATTTAACATCTTCAAGACCACCTTAAGTCTCAGTACTTATTTCCAATATATCTATTGTAGGTTGTACAGACAGCATTGTCTGAGACTCAGGACCCTGAAGAAGTGTCAGTAACTGTTAAGGCTTTTATGACTGCAGACCTTCCTAATGAACTCATTGAACTGCTGGAGAAAATTGTCCTTGATAACTCTGTATTCAGTGAACACAGGTATGCTATGAGATGGGCTCCACTGACTGTTTCTGTTCAGTCTTCTAATTCTGGCCTGTCCTTTTTTCCAAAGGAAGGAAGATAAAGATTTGAGAATGTTACGTGAATTCTCACTCTTCTATTAGTCTCCTGTTCTAACACTACTTCCTGTGGCCAGAGCACTTTGTAATTACAGCATTTTTTTAATAACTATTGAGCTTTCAAAACTCTGCATTTATCCCCTTTTATTTTAAGGAATCTTCAAAACCTTCTCATCCTCACTGCAATTAAAGCTGACCGTACACGTGTTATGGAATATATTAACCGTCTGGATAATTACGATGCCCCAGATATTGCCAATATCGCCATCAGCAATGAGCTATTTGAAGAAGCATTTGCTATCTTCCGGAAATTTGATGTCAATACTTCAGCAGTGCAGGTAATTCTTCAGACTACATAATTTATAATGCCTTCTCTTGATTCCCTATATGCATGAATTGTCTTGGGGGGGGGTTATGCATAATTTATTACTATAGCAAGACAACAGTAAAGAAGTCCTAACTTTAATGTAAATGTGATGAGATTCATTGTATGGTAACGTTGATTCAAAAATTGGTTGTTTAGGTCTTGATTGAACATATTGGAAATTTGGATCGGGCATATGAATTTGCTGAACGCTGCAATGAACCAGCAGTTTGGAGTCAGCTTGCAAAAGCCCAGTTGCAGAAAGGAATGGTGAAAGAAGCCATTGATTCTTACATCAAAGCTGATGATCCTTCATCCTACATGGAAGTTGTTCAGGCTGCTAATACAAGTGGTATGACATCTTTTAAATGTTTGTGGCCTCTGAAAAATATACCTAAGTTTTGGTTAAATTAAGTATTAAGGTAACTGTTTTGAATTATGCAGTTCTTGCTGCCATTAGTACTTGTGAAAACTTTAAGCCCTCCATCTTAATTCAGATAAAGAGAGTGGTGTTTTGTGAACATAAAGTATGAGGACAATTTTGTCTTGATATTTTATAGTATTCTGATAGCACTCTTTTTTTATTTTACTATTAATATTTTATTTATCTTTATTTTTAATAATAGTTTATTTTTACATCATTTTGTGCATTTTTTCATCTCAGTTGTAATCCTTGTGGGCTTCCCATCACCACATCACCCATGTGCCATCATCATAGTCCAGAGCACTCTAGTTTTTTATTTTTAAGGAATGGGGGCAATTAAACTATTCATTTGATCATCGAGAATATGGAAACAGTAGTTTTGCTGTTTGAGATTCAGTGTTTATTTTCTATAATGTTTGCTTGAGAAGTAAAATTAGCAGTTCTAATTAACTAGGGTGAAAATCAAGAAATGTTATTGTTTGGATTTAATTTCCCCCCCATACTTAGGAAACTGGGAAGAATTGGTAAAGTACTTGCAGATGGCTCGTAAGAAGGCTCGAGAGTCCTATGTAGAGACAGAATTGATATTTGCACTGGCTAAAACAAATCGCCTTGCGGAGTTAGAAGAATTCATCAATGGACCAAATAATGCTCATATCCAACAAGTGGGTTTCCTGTTAACTATTTTTTGACTCTTTTTAAAAATCTTGAGCAATTTTATTAGCTTTGTAGGTTCAACACATCACAACTGAAGCTATCCAAGGAAATTTTTACAGTTAAAAACACTGTTTCCCATTATTATGTTGAGTTGTGACGTTGGAAAGAGGGCTGAGCTAAGGCTAAAACTGTTCTGAAAATATATTACTTTTTTTTCAGGTTGGTGACCGTTGTTATGATGAAAAAATGTATGACGCAGCTAAATTGTTGTACAATAATGTTTCTAATTTTGGACGGTTGGCATCTACCCTGGTTCACCTGGGTGAATATCAGGCAGCTGTTGATGGAGCTAGGAAAGCTAACAGTACTCGAACATGGAAAGAGGTAACTTACATCACAATTTGAAGAATTAAGATGCTATTTAGAAAGTCTTTGAGTTGATTCATTGAATTAAGCAGCCATGTTTACATTTGAGCTCACATAATTGAAATGTTTTATTGTAGGTCTGCTTTGCCTGTGTTGATGGGAAGGAGTTCCGTCTTGCTCAGATGTGTGGGCTTCATATTGTAGTACATGCAGATGAGTTGGAGGAACTTATTAACTACTATCAGGTAATGAAAGATGGTGTCTTTTATATTAATTGAGACCTTTGCCACAGATATTCTTATCCCTCTAATTGCACTTTATCTTGTTTAGGACCGTGGATATTTTGAAGAACTAATAACCATGTTGGAAGCAGCATTGGGACTTGAAAGAGCTCATATGGGAATGTTTACCGAATTAGCTATTCTTTATTCTAAATTTAAGCCACAGAAAATGAGGGAGCACCTGGAACTCTTCTGGTCCAGAGTGAATATTCCTAAGGTAAACTAGTCTTTTAACATTTATGAGGCAATGCTATAGCTAAAACTAATACTTAAAGTATCTTACCTTAAAAAAAAAAAAAACAAATGTGTGTGTGTATCTTACTTTTTAAAAGCCTTAGATAGAATTGGAGACCTGTATTTGAAGTAATTAAATCTTTCTTATACAGGTGCTAAGAGCTGCAGAACAAGCTCATCTTTGGGCAGAATTGGTCTTTTTGTATGACAAATATGAAGAGTATGATAATGCCATAATTACCATGATGAATCATCCAACTGATGCATGGAAAGAGGGGCAGTTCAAAGATATCATTACCAAGGTGTGTACCTTCTTCCGAAGGTTAAAAACTCTCTTCTTCAGAAGGAGACTGTTCATTAGGAAATAACTAACTTAAATATCTTTTTTCCTCGCATTTTAGGTTGCCAATGTGGAACTGTACTATAAAGCAATACAGTTCTACTTAGAATTTAAGCCTCTGTTGTTAAATGATTTGCTGATGGTACTGTCTCCGCGGTTGGATCATACTCGTGCAGTCACTTATTTCAGCAAGGTAATTTTTAACCAAAATTTCATATCAAGAAGTTAAGACATATGTGGGTATTGGTCCTTGGTACTTCAACAATTGCTGCAATTATCACTAACTCTTTATGTTATAGGTTGAACAGCTACCACTGGTGAAACCATATCTGCGTTCAGTTCAGAACCACAACAACAAATCTGTGAATGAATCACTGAACAACCTCTTTATTACAGAAGAAGATTATCAGGTATTCTTAGATATATTCTCAAACTTCAGGTTGTGGTTATATGTTGCAGTTGATAATGTTGGGGTTTTTTTTAGCTAATACCTGAAGTAGTGAGTTTTCAGGATTAATGAATTTAATTTCCCCTAATTAATTACCAAGTTCTCAGAATTTTGCTTAGATCGTAAGAGAATTCTGTAAGAAAAAAAAAAACCACAAAATTTTACTATTAACTGTTTTCTTGCCTACTATAGTAGTGTCTCTTATAATTTCTTTTGAAAGGATTATGTAAAAACAGAAATAAGAGTTAAGGTCAAAATGCTTTTTTCTTTCCTTTACTGTCAAAATAATCTTACTTACGGTTCAGATTGCATGTTCATATATATGAATGAATTACCACGTTGAGTAGTATCAGGAGTTTCCCAAGAGCATAAATTCTGACTTTCCAAATTACATATCTCAATCTTAGAACCATCCAAGTTAGTCCTTGAAGACTAACTGTGGAAAAACTTGCACATTTAGAAATTTTACAATACTTTTAAGTATTTTATTGATAGCGTGAAGAACCTTGATGCTTGCTCAGATATACCTTTGCAGTTTTGGCCCTAATATGTAGGTCATCATGTTACAATAATGACTCACTGGTGAAGTCATATAGTATGCATACTTGTATAGTGTATTGATCAAGTCATACAGTAATGGCTTATTGATAAAATGGATCATAAATTTAAACTAAAATTAAACATTGATTTGGCATTTATTTATTTTTAAGGCTTTGCGAACATCAATAGATGCTTATGACAACTTTGACAATATATCACTTGCCCAGCGTTTGGAAAAACACGAACTCATTGAGTTCAGAAGAATTGCTGCTTATCTCTTCAAAGGCAACAATCGCTGGAAACAGAGTGTAGAGCTGTGCAAGAAAGATAGCCTATACAAGGTGCATAAAATTGGTGGGAGTGGTACATTTAAACCATGTACAAACCATGTGTTTAAAGACCTGTGTTAGCTCTAATAAATGGTATGTTATGGTGTAACGTGTTAGTTTAGTGAATGTGAGAATTCCCTTTACCCTCATTTGGAGGAGATGATAATTATGTCAGTTTCTTAAATCTAGGGGCTACATTTTATCTATGTCAGAGTCCTCTATTTAAAAAATAGGGCCTTAACCTCTTTTTCTTTCAAATTTTTAACTAACATGATACAAACAGAAGATGTATTCCCCCTCACCCCTATTGCATTATTTGGCTTAGCAACTCTTGGTATGTTTGAGTTTATAACATTTGCCTTTTATCCATTCTTTTGAAAAGGATGCAATGCAGTATGCCTCCGAATCTAAAGATACTGAGTTGGCTGAAGAACTCCTACAGTGGTTTTTGCAGGAAGAAAAAAGAGAGTGCTTTGGAGCTTGCCTCTTTACTTGTTATGATCTTTTAAGGCCAGACGTTGTCCTAGAAACTGCATGGAGGCACAATATCATGGATTTTGCCATGCCCTATTTCATCCAAGTCATGAAGGAATACTTGACAAAGGTAAGTGGCACTTTTGAGTATATTCAAAAGTACTTTTCTTGATGATATGTAAAATCCACTTGCAGATTTATTTTTTTCAAATGTTTCTTGTGTATTAGAAATAATTTTTCTGATCATAAAAATTTGTATTCTTCAGAAAGTTTTTAATATTTGACAAATGATATTTAGTGGAAAGGCATCTCAAACGTTAGTTGTCAGAATATCCTCGGTTTACTTATAAAAATGAATAATATTTTATATTGTATGTTTGATTTTTAAAAATTGATAAAAAAAACTTTTAATGACTTCTTCCTCAAATCAGTTCTTGTAACTTAGGTGTGTAAAACTAGAAACCCTTTTTTCTGTTTAGTTCTTAACTTTAATATATATCCTTGTTTCCTCTGGGTGATTCTTAATATACTGTTAATTTTCACAATATTTTGATATTAACCCCTAATTTAAAAAAATATAAGACGTTAACAATTAACGACACATTTTCTAAAAGCATGTTAAACAAGCTAGGGTATAATCACCTTGTAAAACTCACATCTCAATCTCATTTTTTGATAGAAAATTTTTTTCTCACCCTATTCTCAGTAGTTACCAGCTTTCTTGCTATAGAACATTTAAAAATGGTTCTTAAAGAATCCATTTTGTAAAAGCAAAACATGCTTATTAAAATCATAATTTTGGGGAGGAGGGGGAAATAAATTTTAAAAAATCAAAGTTTTCACATCTGATCTTTATAGCATACCTGCATAATGGGGGAAAACAGAATTATTAACAATCCAGCCCCCTATATATCAAATGTTTCCTTAGGTTACCATCTAATTAGGTACCATTGTATCCCGTTATAATTTTTAAGACTATTTCCTTCATATAAAGTGCTTGAAGTCCAGTACAAGAGAAAAAAGTTATCTGATCTTAGCCTTAGTTGAAAATAGCTTCCTTTCTTATGCATAATGCCAACTTGTGAGACCTGGCTCTAAGCTGCTGTTAACCAAAATGCTGTAAATTTTACTAGCGATATTTACTACTTGCTTTCTTTCACACTGATTCTAGCATAAATTCTTCTGCAATAAGCTCTGAAGTTTAAGAAAAATATTCTAAATTTTGCTTTCCGTATGACCTTTATTTTCACTTTTCTCATACCTTTTTTAGTGGTTTAGATGTTTCTCCCCTAAACCTTTGTTGCTGATTCTACCTTTTTATGCTCATTATGGAATTTGATTTTTTTTCTAAGCTGCACCTTCTGAATTCCTTTGCAGGTTGATGCAATAAAGGAAAAGGTGAAGGTTGATTCTTTTCCATCTTTAAGTCTGGAGGACTAAGTCTAAGGAATTTGCATGATTTTTTTTCCTTCCTTTTCTACACTGCTGCTGCTGCTTTTTCCCCCCAATAAATTTTCACTAAAGCCTCTGCAAGTCCCTTGAACATAACTATATTAGAGCTGTAGGATATTAGTAGATGTTTGCTACTAATCGGCTATAGGCTTTAGGAAGGGCAGGAGGCAAATCAGTAGTTGGTTCACAGTCTCTCTTAAATACATTATTGAAAACTGAGCATGGTGAGTTTCTATATTAATTCCAAAGTTTCAGGAAATTTCTCTTCCCTGTCAGGGTATCTGGACCATAATAGGATTTACTTAATACTCTAAATACATTAAAACAGCCTCTGGTTTTATTTTGTGAGCTTGCCTGACAGTTGTTGACGTTATATATGTATAAACACGCCCTAAAAGGCTTTTTTGGGGTTTTTTTTTTTTTTGGTATTGAAGGACTGTGATCCAGTTTCTGATCTCTTGATTCTTACTAATTTTTTGCTGAAAGTAGATACAAGAGATACTAGCTGCTTCCGAAGAGACTTTCCTCATGTTTCTCCAGGTGTCCAGTTCTTATGGTGCTAGTCCATTTTCAAGAGAAATCAAAACTTTTAATCATAAAGAGTAGCTTGCTATAATTGTTGCTAAGCAACACGGATTATTTCTGTATGTAACAAAGTAATATTAACTTCTTTCTGTAATAAGGCACACCTCTGAAGCTACCTAAAATTTGCCCTCTTACTCATCTGTTGGCTTTGTCCAAGGTCAAATTTAGGCACCTTTTGGTTGCTACTTCCTTCATTGGCTTGTCTCCATCCCAGTATAAATGAAACAAACTTAGAAACTTATGTTGGTGTCATATACTTCTGTCTGTCATACAATCGTGGTTAGAAAAGGGTGGGGTGGTAAAGGAGAGCTAAAACAAATTTAAAAGAATTTGGGTGGGGGACAATGCCTAGGAATTGTTGAACCAAACTGGAATCACCATTGGAACTTAGGGCAAACCTGAGTAAAATGCATTGTGTGTGAGGCCCTTCAGCAGCTAGTAAGCAAGGCAGTTAGTAGAAAGCGTGTGTGTGAAAAACAGGTAATTGAACTGCAGTGTTATGCATTGTTTCTAAATCAAGCATGTACAACAGTCATTGCAATTACATCATACTACTTTTGGAACTCTTAAAAGCATTGCTGTGGGCTGTGTGTGTTTCTTGAGAGCCTGTATACCAACAGTCATCTTCAGATCTCACTTCTTGCTTCAGTACTTTTGCCTTTTTTTCATGCACACATACACCAAAATAACTGACTGCATGTTAACTTTTCCTCTGCAGCATATTGCAGTCTTTGTGGAAAAGCCTTTTTACATTTAGTGAATTTTTAATAGCATAGATGAAACTGAACTCAGTGACATGTTTACCTGTAATTTTTCTTTTTAAATCCAAGGATCAGAAACTTTTGTTACAGCTCTTAACAAAAGCTTGTGTTTATAAATCCTTTTCTGTTTTGTTTTGTTTTGTTTTTTTGAGCAACCTAAATTGGGTCAGTGGAAACAAAAATTGGATATTGCTGTGCCAGAGGCTGTCCCAGTGTGTGTATATATACAGATAGATAGATATATAGATATAAATAAATAAAATCAATATTTTTTACTTAATACCATTTCTTTAGGCTTTTTGTATTTTTTTTTTTTTAACTAAGTCCAACCTGCCTGTGTCTATGCCTAGGCATTGTGATATTGGTATTAATATCTGATTCACACATTAAAACTCAGACACTGACTTTTAAACATGCTCACTGTACATTTTTTTCTTGAAAGTCTGGAAAAAACCAAAGTTGTAGTTCTTGTTTGTTTTTTAATTAGATGTTGTTAATGTACCACTCATCCATGTAATTTTTTTGTTGTTGTATGATCTTAACTCACTTTTGGGTATTGTTTAGGCTACATAAATCCCACCTGAACTTTGATAACATAGACTGCTTTAAAGTCTATAGCTATAATGATTTTTAAATTGAGTGCCAAACCATGGTGTTTTTTGTTGTACAGATATTCCATAGTAATCTTTTAATATTGGGGTAATCTATAACACATAAGCACTTAGGCTATGAAATAGGAAAATAGTGTGCAAAAGCAAACTAATTCATATTCCCAAAGTAGAGCAACAACTTTTATATGGAGGTGTCTAGAGTCTATTTGTTTTTCTCAAACTTTGTTCCCTGAAAAATTAGTATGGATTGATCCATAGTCATGATACTTAATATGAAACAATGTATGTCTTAAAAATACTGCCTAACCTTAATGGCATACATGAAGACTCAAACATAATATTTTAAAAATTAATTTCAAGTAGAACCTAGGAACTGTTTTAACCTTTTTAGGGCCCACTTTTTATAGTTTTTTCACTGACGTATGCATGTCTTTTTTTTTTTCCCCCTAATTTTTTCCCCTCAACTGGTTGCCTTTTTGAAGACCATGTAGTGAATATTCATAAAAAATTCCTTCCTGCTCTCTGCTCCCATCTTACCTAGGACACTTGACTTTGAAAACACTAATAGAAATCATTGAGAGTTGAAGTTTAGTTTTACTTCAAATGTAATGATTAATTGTAAGGTTTTGGTTGAAAATCAACTTTTCAATATAGTTTAAAAGGCAAATGGAAGCTACACCATGGAGATTGCCTCTCCCAGTATCCTAATGTCACTTCTCCCATTACTTCACAGAATTATAGAATCAGAATTATAGAGTCAAATCACATTACTAGAAGAAACATTGCAGATTCTCTTACTCAGCCATCTTATTATTTAGAAAAGGAAATTTGAGGGTCAGTGCAATAGCTTACCCAGGTCACACAACTAATTAGTAGACAGAACTACCTATTCCAGCTCCTTTAATACATTTAGACTCCTGTACAGTATTAGTTCTTTCTGATGCTGTCTACTTTATACTTAGAGTAGCTACTATTTAATACCATTTACTTCATAAGTTTAATTAAAAGCAAAAATTTCTTCCTTAGTCAAGTTGGGAAAAAATCAGTCATTCCTAGTTATTTTATAGAAAGTGGGACATCAAAGCATGTAGCCTGTCTTTATTTTTAAAATATCAAATATGGAGCCACTTCAGCCTTTTAAGTCCACATCTATAAACAGTATCTGCAAAAGCTATACACAATTGGCAGAAGATGGCTTAGACACACAAGTACTTTTCCGGTCATTAGACTCATTTCACTTTTTTGAATACCATTTCCTTTTGGGAGGGAAGTCTTGCTGGGTCATGAGTTCATTGTTACTATCTTTGATCGGGTTTAAACTTCATTTGACAAAAGTGATTCCTTCTTGTTACCTCCTTTCCTCAAGCTGGCTGCATCCTGGCATGCCCAGTTTTAGCCTGGCGTGAGCTTTTATGGCATTTATAAATCCCTCCTTCCTGAGGGTTTATAATGACAGTGCTAAAAACCACCTTGACTGAAGTATGATCATTGCCATTGAATTGAGGGGGCCTGAGAATGTTCTTTCTAGTGTGTTTAATTTGACAAAATTTAACATACTAAGGCTTTTCCACTTTCTGCCATAAATCTAGGTTTATAATACTTTTGGGGTACTAATTAACATTACCCGTTTTTCTCCAGGTGGATAAATTAGATGCTTCAGAATCACTGAGAAAAGAAGAAGAACAAGCTACAGAGACACAACCTATTGTTTATGGTAATCTCTCTCTTTGACCTCACAGATGCATAGTAGACTAAACATTTCATTCTTTAGGAATTCTATTACAAAATTGAAATGTTTAAGTTTGCTGAGTTTAAGACTAATTGTACCATCACTCCCCCTCCCCCCCCAGGAAATAGACTTAAAGTAGGAATTGACACTCACTAAGATAAATACAAAGACAACCTCAAAAAACATCATTTAAGTACATTTTCCTATTTCCTGGTCACCGATTGATTACTTACTTAATAGTATTGGTGAATTCCATCTGCAGCAGTCTGAAACATGAGCTAATATACCCAGGCTACCTACAGTATGTTTTACATAAAAAGTACATGTTCTGTTTAAATTCTAACTGGGACAGTAAACTGGGTAGTTTCCATTTGAGAACTTTCTAAAGATATTGAATCTTCAAATTCTTAATTTTTTTTTTTAATCTCCTAATGTCTCTTTCTGATGTAAATATTTAAGGCAGTTTAATTTCTTCTTTCACATGGCTGTCTGTACTTGATTTCCTCTTCCCAATTCACTGTTGGGAACAGATTTATTTAAACATTGAATTTGAAAGGTTATGGCACTATAATCATGTGTTCTTTGAAAGAGGATATAAAATCATGACCATTTTTATCTCAACCTGCTAAAGAAAATTTTTGTAATTTATAAAGACAAAATGCCCTTTTTACTCTAGATAAAAGGAACTTGGAAATTGAGGTGATGGGGTAGTTTTGATAAAGTTGGAGGAGATAAGTCTTAGATAATGGGAGTAAGATCTTTGACAAATTTGAGATAAACGGAACAAAAATAGGTAGGTATATTAATTTGGGGTATTAAATTTTAAATGACAGTCCTTATAGGTAGTTGAAAGTGGGGCTGGAATATCAGGATACCTTAGAGGTGATTTTATTATGTTTTCCAAAGAGAATTTTCTCACTGAAGACTGTATTGTTACTCACCAAAAAAAAAAGGAAAGAAACCTGAGGTTGGAGAAATGTGTCTTGAGATTACTTCTTTTGTAAGGATGTTGGGAGAGGTATTAGTGTGTCCTTACTAAGCCAGTTTCTCTGCAGGACGTTTCATATAGTCAGCAACTAGTGAAACCTAAGAGTGTTAACAGTATTTGAAAGATTGTATGCTCTTAATACCTATTTTAATTAATTTATTGCTTTTTAAAAATTAACACTATAAATGCTTTGCTGGAAATGCATTAGGCTTCATTGCCAATTAGACATTTAAATCTAATTTTTAAACCTCAGTTGATTCAAGATTTGTCTGTCGAAAAAGCAAGTTTTCCAATGTTCTGGTTATTGTCATCAAATAGAATGTGCAGATACCATGTGGTGATAAGTACTTAAGAGCAGATTTATGGGCCTATCATATCAATATTGCATTTTCAAATGACATGAAGTAACAAAGTTGCTGTTTCAGTTCTGACCCTGGATCCTGCACTTAAATTGACTTAAGGCTACTGTCATGCTAAAATTTGAATCAAAGTGCCCCCCACAAAACTCATTCTAAGATGTAGTTTTGTTGCTCGGGTTATTGTCTTGTGATAATAATATTTCTTCCACCTCCTTATTATCTGCCCCTTCTTTCTGTTTTCTCCTTTAGGTCAGCCTCAGTTAATGCTGACAGCAGGACCCAGTGTTGCAGTCCCTCCCCAGGCACCTTTTGGCTATGGTTACACTGCACCACCCTATGGGCAGCCACAGCCTGGCTTTGGATACAGCATGTGAGATGGAAAGCTGATCCTCCCAAGTTACCTATTTTCGTACAGAAACATCGTCTCTACCTGCTTCTCAATTTATAATGGGGGAAAACAGGCACATGTTCTTGTAACCTTTATTTCATGAAGGACTATTTTTTGTTTCTAACTATAAACTTGGATCACTTGTGTTAAAAGCTTATTTCACATTCCGCATCTTTTTAGAATTTATTTTCAAAGGGGAATAGTTTCAAATGTTTTACTCACTTGGGCTTTTCTTTCTTCTCCCCCTCCATTCTTTGACGAACTGCTTAATATTCAATCTGTTGTGAAGAACCTGATTTGCACTCTGTAGTGTTTAAAGAAAAAAAAACTCTAATATTGAATCTCTTAAATTTAGTGTATGTAAACAGCTTACAGTATGTATTGTCTAAATGCATTTACATCTTTTATTCAAAGAAAAGCTATGGCAAAAATATTGGTATATGACCTTGTATGACTCAATGCCAACAAAGACAACACTAATTAGCATATCCTAACCAGGATTGCAGTGCTCTCCAAATTTGAAAAATGCATTACAGACAACTTGCCTGATTTTTAAATGAGCATAATAAATGGCCCTCTAACGTATGCAGGTTTCCTCATTATGCATATAGAAGAAAATGCTAGTGTGTTTTTGCTCACTTCATATGTAACAGGTGCCCTTATGTTGTGCTGTATCCTGTGCTTTTTCTGTGGGACCATTCCGTTCAGGAACTAAGAGCACCATAATTCCAATCTGTGTGTATTTACTAACCCTTCCCTGAGGTTTGTGTATGTTGGATATTGTGGTGTTTTAGATCACTGAGTGTACAGAAGAGAAAATTCAAACAAAATATGGTTGTTCTTCAGTTTTGTTTGTGGAATTTGAAATTACTCAAATTTAAAATAAATTACTGGACTGTGGAAATAACATGTAGAATGGCAGTTTTAATGAGATACCTCACAAACGCAAAGCAATAGCATACGGTTTTAGTTTCATACCACTACTGAGCCAGAGTAGAAAGCGGATTGGGACATGTGGAAACAATGTGTTATATTATGTGCATTCTCATAGTTTAATTGGGTACAAGCAGTAGTTTAGAGAACTCAGTACTATAGAGGATCACAAAGGAGTTGTACCCATTATTATAATCAAGTGGCACTTCAGGTTTATGTAAATGAATAGATTGTGTTTTTGTCAACTTAAAAGTGTATTAAGCATGTAGTTAGCGTGCTGTGTATTATTCCTCACTATGAATTGTGTAAAGGTTCCCAAATTACGGGTAGTTGTGATTTTTTTTTAGGCCTCTTTGAATCCAATTTTCTGGTCAAGAATGTTACTTTCAGTTCAGTGTACACTTCTCTTTTAATCCTCAGAAAAGTTTGTGACCTCTCCCCTCCCCTTAGATTGCTCTACATCTTTCTGAATCAGGAAAATGACCATAAATTTTATAAAATTTTGAACCCGTTACTTTACCTACCCAGTTTTTGTCACCCTTATTTTCCTATAGGAATGTATAGTACTAGCTGGAAAAATCTTTTACTTCTCATAGAAGCATCTTGCTGTTTAGTTACTTGTGTTTCTGCTAGATGTCTACCCCATCTCCTCTTCATTGAAAACCAAGAGGTGAGAATAATAGTGATCCCTTGGAGCTCATTCAGTCAAGGTTTTTTCTCTTGGACTTTTCCCATAGTTTGAAACTGTTTTCTTTTTATCAGTGGAAATTATTGCCATAGTAGACACATGTCATAATGTTTTAGTAAAGGTATTTTTATGGTAAACATTTATTAAATGACAACAAGCATTTTCCAAATGGATGCTATGTAATGTCCTATGATACTGTGTTGACATTTAAAATATCCATAATGGGCTACAATAGAAACTGCTACAGTGTAACTTAGCATAGTTTTACTGCTATAGTGTAACTCGGGTTCTGATTGAGCCTGTTTCCTTGTGTATGTGTATTAACACTGTCAGTACTTTTCAGAATTATTCGCAGGAGTATTTAAATCATAAAATGGCCTAATTCAAGACTGGGCAATATTAATAAGTATTGTATAATAATGAACTATTTTGGGGGATCTTTCCTAACATTCCTAACGTAGGAGGGAGGTATAAGAAGGACTTAAAATAGAAAATGATACTAAGAATTCTTAATTGCATCTAAATATAACTAAAATGGGCATAAGGAGAGATTGATTAATGGGAAATGTCTTAGGGACTATTTTTTTTTAATTGAAGTGTATGAAGAAGACCTGACTCCATAAGGACAGGTAGCTGGAAAAGGGAGTATAAAATACTTTTAGATATTTGCACTTAGTTGAAATGTGGAATCTGACACCATAAAAGTGAGCTTTTTGTAACTGTTACAGTAAAATCCACTGGTATGTCCTTTACTTTCAATGGATCTTTCATCCATGTGTGATTTATATACCCTCATGCACTGGTTATGTGGAAAACACTGATTTTGTTACACATATCTTCTAAAATGTCAACACATCTTTTCTATATTTCTAAAAATATATTTGTGAGGCACACCGATCAAACCATACATCTTAAATTTTGGGGAGCTTGGTGGAGAGGCAGATAAAAGTTTTCTAAAATATTTCAGTAGTTTTTCTGGAAGTTCATTTAATTTGTGAGAAAGTAATCTGCTAACCACCCAGATCTAGATGACTTAAGTCGTCTAACATTCTTACAAGTAAAACTGTTCTGTGACAAAAACAATTCAGCTCAGGAGTCAGCTATGTAGTCTTTGTGCTCAAGACAACAATCATGTTTAAGTGTGCAGCCAAAGTGTTTAATATTACAGAGGACATTAAAACAAGTAAGTGAAGGTTAAATTTAATGATTTTTACTCTTTAAGCATTAAATTAAGACTTGGCTTTATCATGAGTGTAGGACCATGAAGATTATTGACTACTCATGTAGTTAGTTACCCCCCTGCCTTAATTTGTGAGAGGTATTTACTGAACAACGCTTTTCTATCATATCATGTCAACACAGTGAAAAATGACTTAGTATTTAAAGTAATTTTGACTCCTAGAAAGTGTCATAAGGGACCCCATAGGCTATGCAAAAAGGATACTTTTAGAGGTATATTATTATGAACTTTATAAAAAAATAAATACAGGTGCAAAACAATATAGTTTAAGAATTATCAGAATTTGTATACTAGTCATTCCAGTCAATTAGCCGTGACTGATTACATTTGCTTGAATCAGCCACAGCAGGCCAACCTGTTGGGAATGCAGGCTTTGAATTTGGAGCCTTCAGTCTCTGAGGCAAGCCTCACATTTTGGATTGAGTTGTCCTCAAAGCAGTTACATGTTGTTGCATCATTTTGAGTTTAGTATAAACATTCTACTTAATAGAAACAGTTGCTATTGTGTTGCAACTTTTCTTATGCTGTCAAATGCCAATGTAAATGTGCTATAAAATAAACACTGACTAAATATTAGAACCTGTAAGACTGGCTGCAGTACTCTGTAGTGTTTTACCCACAGACTTTACTTACCCTGAAGTTACTACTTCATGCTACTTGTGTTCAAGTTAACCACTAAGCATAAGCCTGTTAGTATTTTCCCTGACATCATTATCATTGTTCTTAGAGATATACTGGGTTTAGAAATATTCTTGGGATTCTCTAAAAGAACGCTTTCAGGAAAGTGGTTTCTGTAAGAGATTAGGAAGCAATTGGGCAGCTTCTTGTTTTGGGCAGCTCATGTAGCATACTAATTACTGGGATTATGTCATATTAAATGTACAGATCAAAAGGGAAAGACAGTGTCCTTAAATAATGGAATTGTGTAGTTCTTTAAGTTCTAGGTAAAGAAATAGTGGGATTTTGGGATGACATACCACATATAAGAAGTACATAGTCACTTCCTACTTTGGAAGTAGGAATGCCCCACTTTTGAGAAAAGGGAAGTAAATTTTTTTTTTGTAGGTGGTAATGTAGAACCACTGGCCCAATGTGAATTAGGAGAACTGAGTGAAAAGTTGTTCAGGTAATGCTAAAACCTCATCTTTGAAATATACATAAAAAGTTTGATTCCAAAGTAAGTGGCTATATCCCTGATGTCCTAAGAGAAGCACAGCAACGTGGTCTTGGAGAAGATAAAGTACTATTGCCATACAGAGGGATCTAATCTCAATAGGAAATGTCTGTTTCTCATCCTACCCGCACCCATTTAGTTTTGTCATGACCTGTCAAAACTGTCATGACCATTTCACCAACTTTTCAAAACCCCAAGGTAACTGCCAAGCACATGACTGGACAGGAATGAATTATCATCTCAAAAATACATACATTGGGAGAAATTCAGCATTTATTGTTTGACAACTTAAAACATGGTAATGGGACCATCATCGTACAAAATTCTTCCTAGTAAAGTTTTAGGTGACCAGTGACTTTGTCAACTAGTTCTGCTGGCCCTGGTCCAATTCCTAGGACAGTTCGAGAGCTTGGTGCAATCTGAGTACGTCCAGCATCTTGGATTAGACTTACAGTCAGTCCAAGCATTTTCGCATGTGTCAACAGTGCAACCAGAGTTTCTTCATCTGGGGCTTTGACCACCACTTTGGGCTGGCCACAGTACTCCCACTGTTTGAGCAATTCAGGGTTTCTCCTTTGAATCTGCTTGTAGGCAGAAACAGCAGCATGAGAGCACTGGGCAGCCACTTTTCCTTTTCCCATCTTTAAGTCGTTTCGAACCACAAGAATCATTTTATATTCCCCATTCTCTCCTAAGATGCTTGCTTCAGTTCCGGTCTCTGCATCTGTCTTGCTCACAGAACTTTTAGGGATCATCCCAAAGCGTACACGGAGGCCCCAGCCCAAAAACATGCCACAAGCAACTCCAGCAGCCAAGCTGAGTGTACCAGGGTAAGCCAAATATTCCATAACCAAGGATTTAGAGAGCATCTTTAAAGGAGAGAAAAAAATGTTATCACTACTTAGCAGCGAGAAATTACAGGCTTATATAAAGTACCTGGATAGTTTTAAAACAATGTCAAGACATCCAGAAAAAATGCAAAATACATTTTGGACTTTAGACGTGTTGTTTTTCACTCAGATGTACAAGAAGAGAGTACAAGTAAAACAACTTACTTCATTTTACATAAGAACAGTTTTTTTATAGTTTTAATATACACTATGTAATACCAGAATTATAACTATCATATAAAACAAAACACTATTTCAGAAAATCCTACTTTCCTAGCAAAAGTGTTCAATTTGAGTATCCATCTACATTCGAGTCTGCATTGGGTCGCAATGCTATATATAGGCATAACCATCACCAAAGTAGTAGTACCCAAACATGTATGTTGAAACACATGCAGCCACCATATTTAGAAATGCTTATAAATGGTGTTCTTGGAATTTTGCAGTGCATACTTAAGCACAATAACCATCTTGGAAGTACAGAATATATCAAATTTCCTTATTCTGTTAAAATTAGAACATTAGTGATTTTAATTATGGCTGACTACTATCAAATATGTTAATATGAACACTATAGGTGATGTTAAACTTTGATATATTTCAGCTTTTTAAAAAAAGAATATATTCATTCACAAGGTTGTATAACCATCACATCACTACTGTCAAACTCATTTGATATCAAACTCATCAAGCTCAGACATTTCACATTTTCCCCTCCCCCAACCCCCTGACAACCAGTATTAGTTAAAGGTTTGCCTACTCTGGACATTTAATACAAATCAAACCAATAGGTGGCATTTTATTTTAGGTCTCTATCACTTAGTATAATGTGGTCAAGGCTCATGTTATAGCATTAGTACTTCATTCTCCTTTGTTAATGAATAACATCCGAATGTATAGATAGATAAATTTTACTTATCCAACAGTTGGTGGTCACTTGGGGGCTTCCACCATTTGACTATTATGAATAATATTGTTATGAGTGCAAGTTTTTCATGAATGTGCTTTCATTTCTCTTGGAGTTGAATTGTTCAATCAAATGGCCCTCTGCAATTTTCTCAGGAATTGGCTATTTTCTAAAGTGGATATCATTTCACATTAGTTATAAGTGGCTTATTATAAAAAGTAATTAGGTATGATAGGGTAGATAACCACTGCTCTAGTGCCTTTTGACTCCAATGTGTTAATTTAGAAATTAAGCAAACAAAGCACTAGTTTTGCAAACATCTTCACAGAAATCATGTCTATCTCCAGGTGCCAAGGACTGGTAGGATTTTATCAACTAAATGGAATAAACTGAGTCAATATATCTTTAGTAATCATCAGAAGGCAATGGAGTACTTGATGTCCAAAGGGGGAAAAAAACAACTAAATTCATTTGTACCCAAATTGTACAAGTATAATTCAACATATTGGTATAACCTGATATGTTGCTTTTTAAAAAAAAGGCTGGACTCAAGTCTAAAGTGTAGTTAATAAAAAAGTTAACCAACCCAATATCCTCAAGCCATCTTATTTCAAATCCAAAAATTGTTCTCCCTGCAACAAAATTTCCCTAACATTGATTAATGTTATAAAATCTGTTGTCATCTTCACTTCCTTTAAGTCCATTAGGATCCTTTACTATTCAGATAGTTTCTGAAACACTACCAACACCCCCTACCCCAGGATGTATAGTTCATGCAGCCTGTTTTCAGTGGCAGTATTTTCTGGATCTACTTTCTTAAAGCTCCAACCTTAGCAATTACCTAGCAGGAAGACCAGAACAATATCTAACATGCTTTGCCCATTAGTTTTCACAAAGAAAAAAAAACCCCACTAATGTGTGGTAGTTGTGGAGGCAAGGGAAGGAGCTAGTTTGAGTTGGAGGTCAAGAAGTAGAAGCAAAGCAAAAGAGCACACAAAAAAGCAATGGTTATTAGGAGATATGGAAAAAGGAAAGTTACCTTTTTTCTGCTAGAATAAAAGATGAACATATTTAAACACTGACCTTTATTTCAACATCAATGGATAGAGCTAGAATTAATAGATGTCCAAGATAGGAGAAAAAATAATAGAAAGCAGCAGGAAGAAGGGAACCTGAAGTCCTAATGAAGGGGTCTGATCAAAGAATGAAGGGGTCATTTTCTCAATGTGACAATTTTAGCTGCAGATACCTCTGTAAACCTGAATGCAGGAAGTTGTTACAATAGTTTGTATAAGTCAACCTGGAGTTCAGAAGAGTAAGACTGAAATGAAAGTTGTGATAAAATATAGGAGGATTGCAGAGGACTGGAACACGTAGGTAAAGTTGATAATTGATGATTTTACAATGGCATCATACTGACCCGTTGTGATTTTCTCCTGCAGTACTTAGCCAAAGGTAGTTTGCTTTCTTTAGGCCTTATCCTGAGTTCACTGTACCGCTCATTGGTAACTTGTCTTTTAACTTTCCTCCCTGAACTCTCTTAATTTTTACCACATTATCATGTGGCGCTCTCTCCGGTGTTTTTTTCCCCAGTCTTCTTTCTCTTCTGTTTGCCCATGATCTTGTATTAACCAAGTTTACATACTTGGCCCTCTTTTCAGTGTATGTATGTATGTGTGTATATATATATATATATATATATATATATATATATATATATATATATGTATATATATACTGAAAAGCACTGTACAATGTAGCAGACATTACCCAGGACATTTAAATTTTTAATTAAAGTTTCATTCAGTTGCATTTAGCTACATTGCAAGTGCTCAATAGCTCATGATATGAAAAGTGGCTAGTGGCCACTCACTAGAAAATGAGAGAATATTTATTTCCATCGTTGCAGTAAATTCTATTGGACAGTGTTGGTCTATATACTCTTTCCAGTCATTCAGTCAATTTATATTTATTACTGGCCTATTATGCACCAGGTACTGTTCTGGACCCTGGATATAGAACACTGAACAAAACAGAGGAGATAAATAGTTTAAAAGATGAACAAACTCACTTATCACCAAATCTTAATATACTGAGAACTCCTCAGCTTATCCTGGGCTCCAAACTTCAATTTCCCATTTCTGCTAAATTTGACCATTTCAATGACTAGAACATAATCTTTACTCTCCCAAAGTGAACCAAGTATCTTGTCTTCCTTCTCAAACTGTCTCATTCTATATTTGTGGTTTCTGACCTTTTCCTCCTCTATCTTACCATAATCAGTTAACAAAACATGTTTTAAGTCTTAAAAAGTCTTAAAAGCCTCTAACTACCAACACCCTAATGATCTCTAGCCAAGTCTCCAAAATTACTTCTCTACCTCCAATCTTTAAACATTTGCTTCACTTGTGAAATAGCTCACCCCGATCCACCTGCCATTACAAATATTTCCAAAACACAAATCTGATCACATAATTTCCCTGCTCAACTATCTTAAGTTCCCTGGCTCGGATTCAAAGCAATACCCAGTCTACTTACAGCCTATTTTATCCTTTAAATTTACTCTCCTGCTTCATACTGTACTACTCAACCACACTAAATTACAAGGCCTTTTTTAACAGCAATCGCTCCCCAAAATTGTATTTTTCACCACTTAAACACACAAACAAAAACATCCTCAACACATAAAAGCTTAGTTCAAATGACAATTATCTCTTAAGCATTTACCATTCCCCAGTCTTAATTAGAGTGCTTCAGAGCAGCTGTAGCACTTAAACCTAACTACGTACATACATCACATTTTTAGCGTCTAATACAGAGCCTGGCGTATGTTAAAGGAGTACTACCTCCCTAGACGTTAGGTCTGTGAGACAAAGAACGACAGAATTCTAGAACTCAATTAACTTGATACGCTGCGGGTACTCAAAAATACACAGCAAAAAGAGAGTGAGCTCTGTTCAGTATTTTCTGAATTCTGAGCAACCGCATGTATACTGATTTGTGGCTTTGCCTAAGCATTAAAATTTTTAGATACTTCCTCTCCCCATCAGCTTGGTCCCCCTTCCAAGGGACAAGCAGAACAGGAAACACTGGCTCCAAAGGCCACTTGGCAGAAGACAGTTTACGAAGGAGATGAAAGGATGTGGGTTTTATGCAATGAGGTGGGAAGAAACACTCCAGCCGGAGAATGGAAAATACCCTTCTCCTTCGCCCTGTGAGGGGTAGACCTACCTAGAACACCTTTCTTCCGCCTTACTCACGCCTTTGTGTTCTCCACGACGGTGTACCGAACACACTTCTCGCGCGTGAGCTACCTCTTCCGGGATTCCTGGACGAGTTCCGGATCAAGAACTGCAGGGAGGACAGTCATTCCTTATTTCGCCCCGCCCACAGGGGGCGGAGCCGGCACGAACAAAAATGTCTCGACGTTAAAACCGAAGTTGCTGAAAGGCGGCGGAACGTTTCTCTTGAGGAGCCTGTCTCCCCGGGGGGATCGGACCGGAAGTGACGTATACACCAGTTCCGTTTGGCCGGAGCCCAGCGGCTGGTGGAAGAGTCGATTAGGAGCTACTTACACGGTCTTGAGAACCGGAGAAGCCGGCGTCGGATCCGGTAGGTAAGCGAGCGCTGGGATCTGGGGTTGGAAGTCTGCGGTTATCCTCAGAGCTTGAGTGCTTCCGCATCCCTCTCAGATCCACCGGACAAATCTGGGGCATCGTAATTTCTACTTAAAGCTGTGTTTTAGAGCTCTGCTGACTCTAGATGTCTCTCAATCTGGCGATAGCCAGGTTATTTGGGACGCCTCTCCACAGTTGGCCACCCGTCCATTGGACTCCCGACTAGTCGGTCTTTTCGCTTCGGACTTGGAAGCCGTTCTAGATTATTACACGGCACCCATTTCTTTCTCCTGTGATGAGTAGGAGTTTGTGGAGTAAACAGAGAAGGTCTTTCTTGCTGATGACCTGTTTCTCAGTACCTGTCAGTTTGGATTCTTGCCTCCCCCAACCACTAGCGCATTTTGTTAAATGCACCAGCTTATAAACAAAATTCAGGCGTGCTAATGCCATTTAAAAGCGTTGATGGCTATTGGAATGAGGCCTTTACCCCACTGAGCCCCTGCAGAGGACCTACATTTATTTCCCACTACTTTGATGAAGAACAGAGTTCTCTGTCTTTTCCAGGCCCCTGACCCCTCCAACCTCCGTATTTCATTTTAATGGAGGTACTTGCAATAAAACTAAGTGGTTGTCTTAATCTCCGAAATCCATGAAACCATGTGTCCCACTGCTAACTAAGATTAGTTATGAATCCTTTAATAGATTTTACACTATTAACTTTTGTTTCTTGAAACACCTTGCAAAAATCTCACAAATACCTTGGCACTGTTTACCTCTTTTTGGCCACATAGTTCCTTTTCCTAACTTCAGCGTCTTTCAGTTCTCCTTTGGGGCTTGTCGGAAGTTTCTTAGTTTGCATTGATCTTTTGGAGAAATTAATGCAAGTATTTCTATTTTATAAGGGTAGAGAATTTAGTGTTCTGACTGCTACCTATTATTGTATTTTCATTAACTGATTTCAGTTGATTATTCTTAGTGTAGCCGATGATAGTGAGAAACTATTACTTTCTAGGCAACATTTTATGATTATAAGTATTTTTTATTGATCTTCAGAAGAGGATGATGATACCTGGCCAAATGTGACCAATTTATGTAGGTGTGATGTAGAGTTGAAAGCTTTGCTTAAATTATTTTAAAATACGAAAACAAGTTTTTTTCTTTCACAAACATGTTCTACTTATATACAATTAAATAATTTACTTCCTGTTTTTTGCATTCCAGATTAAAACAAAATAGCCAAGTTTCTGATATATTTCAGTAAGTGGTTTGATGTTTTTTAGCAGTTTACCTAAAGCTAGTTTAATCAGTTTGTTGTTTAGCTTACATATTCTATTTCAGTTTCACACATATCTTTGAAACAGTGATAGGCAATTTCATATGTGAAAATAGATGTTTTGGATGTTCTCATTAGTGTGGCACTGGTAAATTTGTTTATTGACTTTGTGATAACCAAACCTGATCTCACCTATATTACATATCTATAATAATGTGTATAATACATGGGTTTGTTGTTGATGATGTTATTCAGGGACCAGTTGCCCAGTTTATACCTTTTTCAATTTTTTCCTGCCTTTTAGTTGAATTTCCATTTTTTAGAACTGTAGTCAGTTTCACTTCTTAAGTCAGTGAAGCTGACTACAGTCAGCTACCTAACTCTGTGCTGGACTAAACTGTGTTGATAAAAGTATACTCACTTTGGGCCCTCCCTGGTGGCACAGCGGGTTAAAGCACAGCACTAAGAAGCTAAAGCCACTTCCTCATGAGTTCGATTCCCCCCTGCCCTAGAAGAGATCCACATGGCTGGCAGACCTCTCCTGACCCGCCTGTTGCTCCCCTCAGCAGTGTACTTCCTCGATCTGCCTGTTCTGCTCCCCACTCTGTCTCTGGTGAATCCTCTCACCCTCCACATCTCTGGTCTGTACCCCAGTTCTGTATGAAAAAATAAATAAATCTTTAAAAAAAAATACACTCACTTTATAGGTCATCACAATGATTGAAATAGAAAATGTAAAATTAACATAAATAAAATGTTGTGATATTGTCATTTTATTCTGAGGGCTGTTTTCATTATTCCAAAATTTGATATTTAAGTGTGTTATTTATCTGAAAATGTTATCAATTTTCTGAGATGAGCTTTGTCCTACTTTTACACATAATAAAAGTTTGGTACTGTGATCTGTTGAATTAGTCACCTTGGTTAATAAGTAGATGGCTGTAAAATGAGTATAGTTTTTCATTTGGAAGTTTAATCTTTCTTGGTCACTGAAGAATTTCCAAGCACAGAAGAATCTACAGTGTTTGGTGCTTAAAATCATTAACTGAAAGTTAAAAGTAGCCTTACTAAAGGAACTTTGGCATTTTACTGAAAGCAATATTTTGAATTATAGCAACCTCTGTGAACATATAGTTAAACCTTTGCATTTAACAGAAAATTGGGATCTAGAAACAGTGTTTGCTTGCTGGAGTTCAAGAGGTTTAAACAGTAGTGTGTCAGAACTGGAACTGAGATCGCAAGTTTTCTTTCTTTTTGCTGAGTTTTAACCTCTTTATATATGATTTGATATTTCTTAGTTTACATGAAAATATTTTATATTTCAAAGGTGTGTGTGTGTGTTCTATATTTTTGCCTTGTTAGCATATTTAACCTTGTAAATTCTAAGAAAACAAAAATAGTATGCTTGGCAAGATTTGCTGTATGACGGAATGAGGAAAGAAAAAAATTCAGTTTTATTCTTCAGAACAATTACTTTGAGTTCAGGTACCAAGGTGTCTTCTTTCTGGCAAGTGGAAAAGACAGATCTTTGTACAGGTCTGCTGAGTGAATGTAGTTGGTAACGATAGGAGAAAGCTATGTTAATTTCTTTGCCCCTCTTGAAAAAGTTTCCCAAACTATTATTTTAATATTCTATTTTTTAACCATCTGTTAATATATGGAGTAAGTTCTGTGGTTATTTACTCTAGGTAAATAACCGCCATGGAAGAGTTCTTTGTCTTTGGGGACCATTTTTGTTTCCATTGATTTCTAAAAACCTGTTAGCTCTCTGTCCTTTCTTGGCGATGATAGTGCCAGGTACTGTTGACACTGCTGTTTATGCCCACTGCTTTTTGTTTCTGTCTCCTTTTGGTATGGAAATAAACTCCAGATTAGACTATCCTGACTGACTACAGAAACAAACTGTATGGATTAAAGTGATAACTTTGTTGTTGTGTTAGTTAATAATGTGCTTTCACAGAGGCTTGCAAATATTTTGGGGGATAAATTTTTTTTGTTTTTAAAGATTTATTTATTTATGCTTACAGAACTGGGGAACAGGCCAGTGGTGCAGGGGCAATGAGAGGATTTACCAGAGACAGAGTGGGGAGCAGAACAGCAGATCTATGAAGTATACTTCTCAAGGGAGCAGCGGGCAGATCAGGCTAGAGGTCTGTCACGCCATGTGGGTCACCTCCGGGGCAGGCGGGGATCAAAGTCATGCGGAAGTGGCTTTAGCTTCTTAATGCTGTGCTTTAACCAGCTGCACCACCAGGGAGGGCCCAGGATAAATTTTTTAAAAGCTATTTCAAGAAAATCCTTTCTTTTTTCTGAGAGTGTAAGCTTATTTAGTTTACAGAACTGATTGTATTATGTAGACCCTATGTAAAACATTTAAAAATATTTCTGAAGGAAATTTAAACGGGATAATTTTCTATGTCAGATAGTTTAAGGCATTTTTCAATTAAGCAATGTCAGTCCATTGTGTAATTTTATCCCAGCTGATCTAACTGCTAACAAGTTTGTCTGTGTTTCAGAAAGACATAATCTTTTCAGTTGTTCACTGTGATGTTTTCTCTTGTTCCTGAGGTTCTTTAGTATACAATAACAACAGTCTTTTAGACTTTTCTGGAAGGACTAGGTAAGATATTGTTTAGAGCCTGAGCTATGAAGTTAGATTACATCGGTTCAAATTCCAAACCTACTACTGTCTAACCCTTGGAGTAGTTGCTAAACTTCTTGCTATCTCAGTTTCCCCTAAGCAATGAAGTAACTACCTTTATATGGTTTAAATTTGTAGATTTAACTAAAACACTGAGAATAGTACCTGGCATTTTCCTAATCATGATTTTCTTTGTCATCATGTGGCCTGCTAAGAACTCCTTCCCAACCTTCTTTTGAAAATATTTATGTTGCTGCTTACGTAATTATTGTCAATCACTAGTCAACATTCTATAAATAAATATTTTGTGATTTTTTTTTTACAACCTATGTAGGAGTTTTAGCCAAATAAGGAATTCTCATAGATCATTCTCTCAAACTTTTTTGAATGACTGTTAATAGTTTACATTTCCTGTGTAAACCATTAACACAGAATTTCACTCTGGGGTTTGGTATTCAGTGATGTCTTCTTTCTTTGATGGGAAGGTCACATTGCAGTTCAGTCTTTTGCCATATCTATTTATTCATCTAATCAGTGAACAGATATCTTGTATCCCTTTCTGGTTCTGGAGAAAACCATGGGAAACAGAGATAAACACTCTAGTGGGGGTCTGATAGAGAAAAAGTAAATATAAAATAAAAGAATAAACAGTGTAATGCATGTTATGAAAGAAACAACAAGGGTCTGAGAACGAGAATTAATATTGGATATGTACATGTTTGAGACTTCAGTAGAGTATACCCGGAATACAGTGACCTGAGGTGAGATAGGATTCATACTATGCTCTGGGTTATATAGAACTTTTCAGGCCATGGAAATGA